TCTCCAATTGGCTGAGAGTTGCTCCTGGGAGGGCTGCCTGGAGGACCACTCTGAAGACACATCCAGGTTCAAAAAGAACATACATTGGGTTGATTACCAATGTCTGCAAGGCACCTGTGGTGATGCAGTAATGTTTGCGGGTGGGTGGGGAGGCTGAGACAGGAGGATTGTTTGGGTCTAGAAGTTTGAGACCAGCCTGGGCAACACAGTGAGATCCTGTCTCTACAAAACATTTCCAAAACAAATTAGCTGAAGCTACTTGGGAGGAGGAGGAGGTGGTGAGAGGATTAACTTGAGCCCAGGAGTTTGAGGATGCAGGGAGTGTGATTGTACCACTGCACTCCAGCCTGGGTGAGAGGGTAAGACCCTGACTCTTAAGGAAAAAAAAAATGATGGAATAGAAACAGGGTTGCACAGGATACAAATGGTGAAACAAGAATTCCGGCCGGGCACGGTAGCTCACGCCTGTTATCTCAGCACTTTGGGCGGCCGAGGCGGGAGGATTACCTGAGGTCAGGAGTTTGAGACCAGCCTGGCCAACACGGCAAAACCTTGTCTCTACTAAAAATACAAAAAATACCAGGCGTGGTGGTGGGCATCTGTAACCTCAGCTACTCCAAGGGCTGAGGCAGGAGAATCACTTGAACCTGGGAGGTGGAGGCTGCAGCCAGCGGAAATTGTGTCACTACAGCCTGGGTGACAGAGGGAAACTGTCTAAGAAAAAAGAAAAGAATTCAGTTTCAGGGTTTGGACTTCACAGCCCACTCTCCTAACAAAAAGACCAGTAATAACAACAAAATAATAACAGCAAAGGGAAGCCGAGTACCTGTTCTCTGCCATGTCCTGGGCATCATGACATTTAAACCCACTCCATCAGTTGAGTCTATTAATTCAATTCAACAAATATTTACTGAGGGCTACCCATGCCGGACTCCACCCTCCTCATGTTGTCCTCTGACAGTTATGCCAGCTCTCTATGCCTCTCTGTTCCTCCTTAAGGAAGGTATGGCACAGAGGTCTCACATGTATAGAGATGGGTTCTGAATTTGCATCCTGGCTCATTGTGGGTGTTTTTCTTTCTTTCTTATTTTTTTGAGACAGAGTCTTGCTCTGCTGCCCAGTCTGGAGTGTAGTGGTGTGATCATGGCTCATTGAAGCCTCAACCTCCTGGGCTCAAGTGATCCTTCTGCCTCAACCTCCCAAGAGGCTGGGACTATAGGCTTGCACCACCCGGTTGGCTAATTTTTCTCTTTTTCTATAGAGACAGGGGTTTTGCCATGTTGCCCAGGCTACAATCCTCCTGCCTTAGCCTCCCAAAGTGCTGAGATTACTGGTGTGTGCCACCACACCCGGCCCTGGAGATGGATTCTGAATTTGCATGCCAACTTATTGAGGTGAGAGCTTTATGCTGAGTTGATAAGACTTGCTCTAAGAGCCCAACGAGCAGCCGGCAGTACACAAGCCACAGCTAGATCCCTACTAGTATTATTATTACTTTTGAGATGGAGTCTCGCTCTGCCGCTTAGGCTGGAGTGCAGTGGTGTGATCTTGGCTCACTGCAACCTCTGCCTCCCGGGTTCTCCTGCCTTAGCCTCCCTGGTAGCTGGGACCACAGGCATGCACCATCATGACTAGCTAATTTTTTGTATTTGTAGTAGAGATGGGGTTTTGCCATGTTGGCAAGTCTGGTCTTGAACTCCTGACCTCAAGTGATCCACCTACCTCGGGCTCCCAAAGTGCTGGGATTACAGGTGTGAGCCACTGCACTAGATCCCTATTTTTGAACTCAACTGGGCATGTGCAGTTTTCATTGAATTCCCACAACCACAGTGAACGGTAGAGAGAATGTGCCCCATTTCTCGGATGGAGACATTGAGGGTTAGTCACGGGGATCTATGACTTGTCCAGGGTGACAGGAGAAGGTGGAGGGGATGGTGTCAGCATATGACCCCCGATCCAATATCCCCAGAGCTGAAAGTTACCGGATGCCTCCCTCCCCATGGAGTCCCCAACTTGAATGGAGTGAAGAGGTGACTGGGTGGGTCAGACCCGGGTTCCTAAGGAGGTTGAGGGAGCCCCCCCTAGGCCAGGTGTTCCCAACTTGAGACCATTAGAAGGCCAAGCCTGCTAATCTGGCCACAACCACTTCTCCCTCACATCTGTGCCAGAGTTTAGCAGGACCAGTGTCGTGTTTCTCCAAGGCTGAGCCAGCTGAGCCGATAATGAGGATCAGATTGATGGAAGCCACACCCGCCCTGCTCCAGCCTGCAATAAGTGCGCAGCCTGGGACAGTGGCCACGTGGGCTTCAAAGGGACTTCGACGACTGGCCCCAGACAGAGATGGGGGGTGGTAAAGTCAGAGAGAAGGAGGGCAGATCAAAGATAGAGGGTAAGGGAACCTTCCCATTCTCTCCAGTGCTTCTTCTAAGTCTCCCCCACTTTTGGTTTCTCGCTCCCTCTTTCTTCCTGTTTCCCTCTTTTCTCCACTGTCCTGCCCTCTCTCTGAACCATTCTGTGTCCCTGGCTTCATCACTCTCTCTTCCTGTTTCCCACCATTGCACATACATCTGAGGCACGGATTTTGCAGTGAACACACCTGAAGCCACTTGTTTCTTAGAACCTCCTTAGAACCACGGCCCCCAGCTGCTGTCCTGGCCCCAGTCACAGTGACAGATGCCTGGATACCGGCCGGCGACAATAGGGCATTGAGTGGCTATGCATGGTGAGGCTGGGCTACCACGTGGTGCTGACTGAGCCTCCTACTTCTGGGCCCTCCTTCAGTGCAGGGTCCTCGTGGTCTTAATTTATCACCTCTCCTCCTCCCAGCCCGTCCCCATGATACATCTCTGCCCTATACAGAAGAACTCAGGTCCTCAAGGCCCTTCTGTGACCTCTGACCACACCCTCTCTCCCTTTGTGCATTAGTTTCCTTTTTCAAATGAGAGAACCGATCAGAGGACGCCTAGGAGAAGCTGGACCGTTGCGGGAGTTCTGAGGTCCTCAGGAGGCCACAGTCCAGTTCCCAGACCTGGGTGAGCAGCACGAAGCACAGAGAGGGAAAGGAACCGGCCTGAGGTCACACAGCTGGTGAACCAGGCTTCAGGGACCTCATTTCTCAGAGCCAGGTGGGCGGGTCCCAAAGTCCAGGAGGGGAGAGGCCCAGGCATGGAGGGAGCGCCGATCATGCCCCCACCCCCACTGCTAGCCACGACTCGAAAAAGAGGACCGGAAAGAGACACAGTGCACAGAGACACACACGCAGAGACGGAGAGATAGGAAGAGCGGAAGAGGGAGGCCCGGGCGCCGGGACCAGACAAAGGACGCGAGGCGGCGCGGGGAGCGGAGTCGCGCGGCAGGGGCGGGGGTGGAGCCGGGGTGGGGCTATAACTGGCCAGCCCCGCCCCCGGGATACGCCCGGGCTGCCGAGTGGGAATCCGAGGGCTCGGGCGAGGCCGGGCCCCCGGGGCCCTGGGGGGCGGGTCCTAGATGGGCGTGCCCGGGCGTGGCCAGGCAGGGCGTGGCAGGGCGGGAGGGGCCGCCCGCTCGGGAGCTGACCAGCTCCGTGGCTGCTGAAAGCACCGAGCGCGGGGCGAGCAGTGCGGGCGGGCGAGCCGGCGGCGCTCAAGGTCACCTCGCGGCCCAGAGCCTCCGCGAGGTGGGGAGCCTGGACCTGGCCTAGAGGGTCTGCCTGGGTCTCCTACCCCATATCCCTTGGGGCGGGGACCGGGATCCAAGAGGTGCCCCCACCAACCCGCCGGCCCTCCTCTCCCCTCCCCCTCCCCGCAGCCCGAGGCGCCCGCGCGAGGCTACGGCCCGCGAAGAAGCGCTGAGAAACAAAGGGACGCGGCAGCGGCAGCGGCGGGCCCGCGGGGCCTCCGGGCGTGCCCCCTCCTCTCCCCTCCCCGCTTGCCGCAAGGTCGACGGGCTTGAGGACGAGACGCCCGCCTCCCGGGCGCGGCCGAGGCCCCGGGAGCGCGATCCGACGCCACCCGCTTCCCTAGGGCTCTTGGGGACGCCCTGTCGCTTTGGCCCGGTCCAGCACCAGGCATCGGGCCCTGCGTTTGCCTGGGCGGCCTGCGGGGTCTGGGCCTGGATGGAGGAAGCATCCTTAACCGCCACGGCCCCTCCCCCATCAGGCCTGCTGGCGAGGGGGCCATCCCGCCTCCAGGGCGGCGTTGGACGCCCCCTGAATCGCAGTCCGGCTCCCAAAGGCCCCTCAGGCCAAGCTTTCAGCGCTCTCAGAACCCTGGGCGCGGCCCTGCCCACTCTCAGGCCCTGAGGCTCGGTCCTACCCCCCCACCCGGGCCTAGCTAGGCCTGGTCCTACCCCCCCCCCCTCCGCACCCGCCCAATCTCCGCGGAGCCTGGGCCCAACTCCTCCCAGTCCCGATTCCCTTTCGGCAACAGGGGAATACCTACAGTGACCATTCTTGTGTGCCCGGCGGGCGCGGTCCGTGTTGAGGGAGGCTCCGGGGGTCGTGCACTCTTAGTGGGGCGCCCGATGCTCACGCCGGGGTCCCGCCCGGGCGGCCTCTGGTGCGGCCGCTGCAGATGAGGCGATGAAGGCGGCGGCTCCCTCGAGGGCCAGGGACGGGCCCGAACCCGGGGATGCGCGAGTGGATGGCCGGGCCCCGGGGTGGCCTGCGGGCGGCAGGGGATGGAAAGAGGGAGCTGGCGCGGGGTTGAGGATGCCCCCTGCGCGGCCCCGCGGGGCCCGGGGAGGTTGCGCTTCCCGACAGAGATCGCGGCGCTCTGCCTTTCGCCGCCGCCCCTCTGCCGGCCCTGTTCGGTCCCGGGTGTTCAGGTCCTCTCCCCTCGCCCACCCTCCCTCCCTCCCTCCGGCCCGCGCTGCGCGCTCCGCGCTCTGGACCGCGCTGCCGCCGCCCCCAGCCCTTTATAGCAGCAGCTGCCAGCGCCGGCGTCGTTCATTGGCTGCGGCGTCAGAGGTCCGCCTCCTCGCGGCTCCCGACGGCGCGGCAGGTGGAAGCGAGCGCGCGCTGGTCGGGACTCTGCACCCCACGAAAGCGTATCCTAGGTGCTCGGATTGCCAGATTCAGGCCCCCTCCTTCCCTCGCGGCCCTTGCTTCCTGCCTTGGCATCCCTTCTTGGGCTGGCTTTCGGGGCAGGAAACGGGTTCCCCTCCTCCGTCCAGCACCTAGAGGTGGAGGAGCCAAGAGAGCAAGGAGGTATTAGTGGTATGAATATGCGACCTTCCAGAGGTGCTGTCCACTGAGGGGACTGGGACCCGGAACCTATATTTCAGTAGGCAAAGGCCTGGTTCCCCAGATTCGGAGGCACCAGGTGTAGACCACCTCAAGACCACGGAGGGTGGCTAGTGTGGCCATAGTCTTCTGTGGAAGGAGGCTGGGACGCTGTTAGTTTAGAGTGGGCTGGGTGCTTCTGGGTTCAAAAGGTGAGGATTGGCACTCCCCATTGCAAGGGCAACTCCGCACTGCTCCGAAGGGGGTAAAAAGGTTTGGGGCTAAGTGTTCTGGATAATCCTCGCTGGAGCGCTGCAGCTCCGGGAAACCACAGATACTTCTCGGACCCCACAAAACTGGGGTAGATGGATTTGCCACATAAATGTCCTGGCTTCCTCGGCTCGTGATTGGTCCTCCTGACTGCGGAGTCATGCTCGCTCTCTGCTAGCGGGGACCTGGCCTCTCTCTAAGGCATTGTGGGTGGCTCAGCCTCCTTCGGTGCGCGGGCGCAGGTGCATGTTTACGTCGGGGCGCCAGAACAAGCACACACTGGGGCGGGGTCGCCGGGGTATTAGGCTTCAGCACCACAGACAGCAAGCCGACAGTCCGGGCGAGGGTGCTGCGGGCGGGGTAACCCGGACCCCCTAACTGGAGAGCCCCAGTCCCCACCCTACCCTCGTTCCTGCACGCCCTTTAGGCTCCAGACTATCAGAGAGCACCACCAGCCAGAAGAGCCTAATTTGCCCAATCAGGGGCGGCCCTTGAGAGAACCAATTACTGAAGATGCCCTAGAGATCGAGCCAATGGAAGCGCGCGTACCAGGGGATGCTGCCACGCCTGGAGAGGGCAAACCAATCGCAGTGGCCCGCACAATCGGGGCGGTGACGGTGCGGGTCCCCGGGTGGCCCCTCTTGGGCTCGCTGGGGCGACCTGGCTGCCGACGCAGGGGACCCTAAGCGATGGTCTGTTCCCCCACCCGTGTTCCTCCCAGTTTCCGTCATCGGAAGCTGTGCCGGGAGGTGGGGGCTGCTCCTGGGCGCGCGGACCCCGCTGCGGTTCCCATGGAAACCTGTCGGCTCCGGCTGTGCGGGGAGAGCTGAGAGGACCTGCCTCGGGGGGGAAGGGAGCTCGCGGGGGCGGCCCCAGCGGCCGGACTCGCTCGTCCTTGCCGATTCTTGTCCCAGCCTAGGGTAGCCCCCTGGTCCGTAGCGGAAACAGGCGTAGCTGGGGCCCCGCCCCACCAGAGCGAGCTGGTGAGGAGCCGCTCGGGTGGGCCAATATGCGCGTGGCGCCACAGGGCTCTCCCGGGCACGTGCCTGAGCTCGCGGCTGCTGTCCCCAGGGTCACGTGGCTGCGGCCATCGGGGCCTACGCGACTCGCGCGCCACCTGGCGGCCGCGCCTCGCTCCCTGCCCCTCTCCCTAGCGGCCCGCAGGAGGCGGCGGCCTCAGCATCCTCCTCCGGGAAATGGGGCCAGGGCAGCCGCTGCCAACTCCCCTTCCCCCCGCGGCTTCCTGTTTTAGGAACACGCCGAGCTGGTTCTACCTTGGGGTTTTAGCACTGGTTGTTCCTCTGGCCTGAGAATTTCCTCCCCCACTTTTCTTCAGGGATAGATCTTTGTCATTCTGGCCTATGCGCAAATGCCACCTGCTCTGAGGCCCTCCCTGACCACATCCCCAGAGAACAACGCATCACTCTCATTTGCATGGTGCTTGTCACTAGCTGCAGATGTTTCTCATTTAGGGGATTGCTGAACACCTCCCCCATCTCGCCTCGGAGCTCGCTGAGGGTGGCAAATGGGTGCTCTGTAAGACCAGAGGAGTGGGCATTAGGGTCCTGAGTTCTGGGAGATGCCGAGAGACCCCAGACCCCCAAGCCCCACCTCATCCTGTGAGATCAGGGGCTGTGTGGGGCTGCGCGGCCCAGGGCCTCGCTCAGGAAGGGATCAAGTAGGTTGGAGACCGACAGAGATCTGGCACCCCAAATTATTCAGGCCCAGGAAAAGGGCATCTCCTTTCTCATCTTTAATCTCGCTCTGCTCTCTTGACACAGTTCCAGCAATGTAGCCCCATGCACCAGCTTCAGAGAAGGATGCAGTGGAGCGGGGTGGGGCGGGGGCGCCTCCTTCCGGCCCGCGGTCCGGGCGGCCCTCGCAGCAGTCCAGGCCCCGGCAGGCCTGGGCGTTGTGTCCGAGTGGACGAATAAATAGGGGCGGTCAGTGGTCAGGTGGGCTTGTGGTCTGGGTGGCTTTTGAGCGTGTGGAACTTGACGCTGTCCAGCTTCTCAAAGCGCTTCCCGCAGCGATCACACGTGAAGTTGTACTGCACCTCTGCCGTGTGCTTCTTCATGTGCCAGTTGAGCGACGCGCGCTGCCGGCACTGGTAGCCACAGATCTCGCACCTGCCAGGAGCCCGTGGCAGCACGGGGTGGGGTCAGAGTGGGCTGGGCACCGTGGGGTAGGGTGGGGCCTGACAGGGCCGAGCGCTGGTGGAACCATGCCCACGTACTGCATGGGCGCAGAGTGCTCCCAGACCTGCTGGAATCCCCTCCCTCCCAATCCTCTAGCTATGCGGGCGGCCTGTGACTCACTGCAGGGGGGTCTCGCCGGTGTGCGTGCGCCGATGTACCTCCAGGTGGTTCTTCCTCTTGAAGGACTTGCCGCAGGTCTCACAGGTGAATTCACGGACACCTGGGGGCGGTAGGGACCGAGGCTGAGGACGGTGCTATTCGGGCAGGGGGTTATGGGGTATCTGATGTGCTGCAGACTCTGAGGCTAGAAGGAGCAGCAGGCTGTCTCCTTGCATCTCCCAGGGCTGCAGGTGCAGACCGACCAAACCCACGGAACCCTACGTCCTTCCCCTGCAACTGCTGGGAAACAATCAAGCAGAGCTAAGATTCGAACTTGAGTCCCTGAGGGGCATAGGGTGCAAACTGCCAAGCCAACATGGTTCTGAATTTGTCCCCAATATTTATTTTGTTATTGTTGCTGTTTTTCCCTGAGATGAAGTCTTGCTCTGTTGCCCAGGCTGGAGTGCAGTGGCATGATCTAGGCTCACTGCAACTTCCACCTCCCCGGATGAAGCAATTCTCCTGCCTCAGCCTCTCAAGTAGCTGGGATTACTGACATGTGCCACCATGCCCAGCTGATTTTTGTATTTTTAGTAGAGACAGGGTGTCTCCATGTTGGTTCAGGCTGGTCTCAAACTCCCAATCTCAGGTGATCCACCTGCCTCAGCCTCCCAAAGTGCTGAGATTACAGGCGTGAGTTACCGCACCCAGCCTTGTCCCCCATATTTGAACTTTGAATGATTTTGCATTTAAAAAAAACTTCTGCCGGGCTTGGTGGCTCACACCTGTAATCCTAGAACTTTGAGAGGCTGAGGCAGGCAGATCGCCTGAGGGCAGGAGTTGGAGACCAGCTTGGCTAACATGGCAAAATCCCATCTCTGTTAAAAAATACAAAAATTAGCCAGGTATGGTGGTGGGCACCTGTAATCCCTGATACTCGGGAGGCTGGGGCAGCAGAATTGCTTGAACCCGGGAGGCAGAGGCTGCAGTGAGCCGAGATCGCACTCCAGCCTGGGCAACAGAGCAAGACTCCGTTGCAAAAAATAACCCCCTCAACACACACAAGAAAGAAAAAAAAAAAAAAACAACAAAAAACAGCACCCCAAATTTCTGACCTCGAGATATCAGAAGCTCTGGCCCTCACTGTGTCCCCAGCCCACAAAGAAGACCAGCATCTCTACCACAAGTAGAAACAGAAGCCCAGTCCCAAACAGCTGCCCCTCTCTGCCCAGCTCTCCTTCCTGCTGCTGCTTGGGTGGGCACTGGCTCTGGCCTGTGGCCCCAGGTGCTGCTATGGTTCCAATCTGGAAGAGCTGAGGCAGTGTCTTAGTCTTGCATGAGACCTGCTCATGGAGTTGTGGGGATAGGAGGGGAGACAGCCAGCCCCGCCCACCTCCTGTGATTGATTGGTAACAGTCCCTGCGTTGTGGCTCAGGTAGCTACAGCCTACTGAGCACAGGGAAGAGGCTCCTAGGGGTGCAGTCCTGTGCCAGGGAACCCAGCACTAGGTTTTGACCCTCCAGCTCAGCCCAGGCTCCCAGGCTTCCAGGCCCCTAGTCCCATGCCCCTGTGTCCCCAGCTCATGCACCAACTGGCCCAGGGCCTGACCTGAATGAATGATCATGTGCCGCCGCAGGTGGTTGGATAAATAGAACTTCTTGCCGCAGCCAGGATGAGGACACACTTTGGTCTTCCCTTTCCGATGAACAAGATTGACGTGGTTCTGGGGACGAGACGGGCAGGAGTGGGTCCCGTAGGCCCACTGAAGGGGCTCTGGGGGGTGGGGAGAGATGAAGGCAGCTGGAAGGCAGGCTAGAGCTGGCCTCCCCAGGAGGGAGGGAGGAAGGCTACCCTTGCCCAATCTCTGAGATTCCCAGGGGCACAACTGGGGTCAAAGGGAAGCTCTACTGAACACCTACTACGTGCCAAGCTCTGGACTGGGGTATCCATCAGCTCTGTGAAGGGCCCAATTAATGGATGAGGAAACTGAGGTTCCAGGCTCAGTGGTTTGGCCAGGGTCTCACAGGTGGGCAGTGGCAGGACTGGGACTGGATCTGAGGGCTGTCAGCAGATCAAAAGGCAGTCCCGATTGATTCATTCCTCTGTTCTTCCATTCTTTAACTTACTGGCTCTAGCTTGCAGGCCTGGCATGTACTAGGTGCTTAATATATGCTTAATCAAAGCATGGCATGGCACATTCAAAGGCCTGTTGCTGCATCCTCCCATGCCAGGTGTGAGATGTGACAAGTCCCTGTCTCTGCCTTCAGTGGCACCTCGTCAAACTCCAAGGGGCAAACTAGAGATAGGATGTCCTGGTGGTGCCATGACCTGGGCCTTGTGGGCCTGGCCCAGGCTACTCCGGGTGGCAGCCTCACCTGGAAGCTGCTGAGGGCCACATAAACTTGGCTGCAGCCCTCGTATGGGCAGTGGAACATCTCGAGCAGACCGTCAGCGTCCGTCACCCGCGACCGCTTGCTCCGCCGCCTCCTGGAGGGGAAGGGGCCCATGAGTTTGGGGCTCCCGCACCAGGCAGGCTGGGGGCCTGGCCACTCCTAGAGCTCTCCTTCACCCTTGCCCGGCCCTGGCACCCACTTCTCGGGCTCCTTGGGGATCTCATAGATGATGGCTGACATGTCGCTGCCGTCCAGCTCCCCACCGTCCACCTCTGCTGCAGGCTCTGTGCTCTCAGGTACTGTCGTTGCCAGCTCCGGGGCTACAGGCTCCTCCTTCTCCTCCTTCTTGAGCAAGCACAGGTCCTCCTTCTCTACGGGGTGGACACAGGGTGGTGTCCGCGGGGCACGAAGGCTGCTGAAGTGCCCATTTCGAGGGCCACTCCTCGCCCAGTCCCTCCCAGGCCCAACCACCCCCGGCCAGAGGCCATGGCAGGTCCCCCAGACCTTTCTTGGTCTCGATGCTCACTACAGCAGTGGCATCCGTGGTGCTGGGCTGGCTGCCCTCAGGCTCTGTCTGGGTGTAGGCCGCCACGCCCTCCATCATGGCACAGGGCACCTCCTCGCCCAGGCCAGTGCCAGGGGCACCGCTGCCTGCCGCCATGTTGAGGTGAATGCCCTCAGCTGTGAGAGCGTCATAGCCAGGGCCTGCGATGATGATCACCTGTGAGCCAGGCACCATGCCTGGCATGGGGCAGCTGGCCACTACCTCACCCAGGGCCTCCTGAGGCACATTCTCAAAGAGGGCGCCGGGGCCCGCACCCACTTGCATGGGCACTGGCACGCACACCACTGTCTCCAGGGCTTCGGGCCCACTGCCTGCTGGGTTGGGGCACAGCGGGGTCCCCTGCTCGGCCAGGCTCTCCACGTGGTGGACGTCAAAGGGGATGTGCACACCCTCCTGGGTGATAAGCCCGCTGCTGCCCACCGGGCTGGTGGGCGTCACTGCTGCCGCCGCCGTCACTGCAGCCTTGACTGGCTGGCCCTCAGGACGCTCCTCAGAGTCGGAGCCAGAGCCAGAGCCAGACGAGTCAGAGCTGCTGGCCACCAGCCCATTGCCCACTGTGGGGACAGAAGAAAGGGAATGGTTATGATAGCTGCAGCCGCTGGTATTTGTTTAGTTTTTCTTTTCTTTTTTTCTTTTTTTTTTTTGTTTTTTGAGACTCTTACTCTGTTACCCAGGCTGAAGTGCAGTGGTGCGATCTCAGCTCACTGCAACCTTGGCGTCCTGGATTCAAGTGATTCTCCTGCCTCAGGCTCCTGATTAGCTGGGACTACAGGTGCACACCACCACACCCAGCTAATTTTTGTATTTTCAGTATAGAAGAGTTTCACCATGTTGGCCAGGCTGGTACTCCTGACCTCAAGTGATCTGCCTGCCTGGGCCTCCCAAAGTGCTGGGATTACAGGTATGAGACACCTCACCCAGCCCCATTTTTTTCAAGTAGAGACCAGGTCTTGCTATGCTACCCAGGCTGGCCTTGAACTCCTGGGCTCAAGGGATCCTCCCGCCTCGGCCTCCTAAAGTGCTGGGATTATACTCGTGAGCCACTGTGCCCAGCCAGCACTTGGTATTTGTTGAGGGCTCTCCAGGGACACTGTGACCCTCTCACTGCCCAAAACAGCAGTCACTTCTCAGTCCCCACTGCCCCCGACTGTTCCAAGATGACTAACCCAGCTGAACACCCCTGCTCCGGGGGACACTTTCCTCTCCTGGTCCCCAGACTCACACTCTGGTGTCCCCAAAGTGCTGGGATTGTAGGTGTGAAACACCTCACCCAGCCCCGATTTTTTCAAGTAGAGACCAGGTCTTGCTACACTACCCAGGCTGGCCTTAAACTCCTGGGTTCAAGGGCTCCTCCCACCTCGGCCTCCCAAAGTGCTACAATTACAGGTGTGAGCCACTGTGGCCAGCCAGCACTGGGCCCTTCCTGGTGGCTCCTTCCAAGTTTCTTTGGTTCTTGCAGGCCTGAAAGGCTATGGCTCAGGCCTCTCCTCAGTGCTCACCTCACCCCCAGGCTTGCCCAGGCTGACGGGGTTGAAGGTCACACTCCAATTCTCAGTGCTAACTGAGTGTCCAATAATTCAATCCATTTTGACATTATCTTCCTGGAGCGGGCATCAAATCCTATAAGTTAAAGGCTCAGTCCCACAAGACTGCTTGGACTTCAGATGTCAGCTGCAAGTCCTGGGCTACCCTGTATGTCTGACCAACAGGCTATAAATGGGGGGTTTCCATGACTCCATCCTCAGGTTTGATATTTGTTAGAACAACTCACAGAAATCAGAAAATGGCTCTACCTATGATTATAGCTTTATTATAAAGGATTCAACTCAGTGACAGCCAAATGGAAGGGTACAGGGTAAGATATGGGGGATGGTATAATCTTCCATGCCCTCTCCAGGGGCACCACGGCCTCAGCATCTCATGTTTCAGAGCCTTGCTCCATTGTGCAGCCTGTAGCGCAGTGGCACAATCTCGGCTCACTGCAACCTCTGCCTCCTGGGTTTAAGTGATTCTCCTGCCTCAGCCTCCCAAGAAGCTGGGACTGCAGGCATGCACCACCATGCCTGGCTAATTTTTTGTATTTTTAGTAGAAACAGGGTTTTGCCATGTTGCCCAAGCTGGTCTTGAACTCCTGATCACAGCCATGAGCCACTGTGTCTGGCAAGAGTTTTTATAACTCTGTCTCCAGCTCCCTATTCAGTCCCTAGGGGCTGGGGCTGGGGCTGAGAGATCTCTCTCCGATCCTGTGTTTGGTCTTCCTGGTAACCAGCCCCCATCCAGAAGCTATCTAGGGGCCCCACTGGGAGTCACCTCATTAGCAAAGATTCAGGGGTGTTCCTAGGGGGCTTATTATGAATAACAAAAAACACTCCTGTCACTCAGGAAATTTCAAGTGTTTTGGGAGCTCTGTACCAGGAACCCAGGACAAAGACAGAGACGAGGTCTTGCTCTGTTGTCCTGGCTGGAGTGCAGTGGTTTGATCGCAGCTCCTGACAACCTCTAACACTTGGGCTCAAGAAATCCTCCTGCCTCAGCCTCTCAAGTAGCTGGGACTACAGAGACATTCCACCATGATAGGGTAATTTTTAAATTTTTCTAGACACAAAGTCTCACTATGTTGCCCAGGCTTGTCTTGACCTCCTGGTCTGGAGGATCCTCCCTCCTTGGCCTCCCAAAGCACTGGAACTACAGGAGAGTATCTACCTTTTTTTTTTTTAAGACAGAGTCTCGTTCTGATGCCCAGGCTGGAGTGCAGTGGCACCATCTCAGCTCACTGCAACCTCCACCTCCCGGGTTCAAGCAATTCTCCTGCCTCAGCCTCCCAAGTAGACAGGATTACAGGCACATGCTACCATGCCTGGCTAATTTTTGTATTTTTAGTAGAGACGGGGTTTTGCCATGTTGGCCAGGCTGGTCTGGAACTCCTAACCTCAGGTGATCTGCCTGCCTTGGCCTCCCAAAGTGCTGGGATTATAGGCGTGAGACACTGTGCCCAGCCAAGTATCCATTCTTTTTTTTTTTGAGACAGAGTCTCGATTTGTCGCCCAGGCTAGAATGCAGTGTGGCACAATCTCAGCTCACTACAACTTATGCCTCAAGTGATTCTCCTGTCTCAGCCTCCCAAGTAGTTGGGATTACAGGAATGAGCCACCTCGCCCAGCCAAGTATCTATTCTTATTAATACTATAACCACCCATGGCCTGGTGACTCCATGTGCAGCTCCTTCCTAGACCTTCCCGTCAAGCTCCAGATTATTCCATCTCATGGCCCCACCTAAGAGGGTCTCACAGGCATCTCAAACTCAGATCTGCAATGCTGGGCTCTGAACCTTCCCTCCCACAAAGCCTGCACTATTCACGGGTGTCCCTGACTCAGCGGATGGCAGCTCTGTCCCTCCAGTGGCTCATGCCAAAGTCCTGGGGCTCTTCTTGACTTCTCTCTCTCTCTCACACCCACTTCCAATCTGTCAGCAAAACCTGTTGGTGCTGCATCCAAAATATACCCACCTGCAGCCTGACCGCTTCTCTTACTTCCCCTGCAGCTGACCGCTTCTCTTACTTCCCCTGCAGCTGACCGCTTCTCTTACTTCCCCTGCAGCTGACCGCTTCTCTTACTTCCCCTGCAGCCTGACCGCTTCTCTTACTTCCCCTGCAGCCTGACCGCTTCTCTTACTTCCCCTGCAGCTGACCGCTTCTCTTACTTCCCCTGCAGCTGACCGCTTCTCTTACTTCCCCTGCAGCTGACCGCTTCTCTTACTTCCCCTGCAGCTGACCGCTTCTCTTACTTCCCCTGCAGCTGACCGCTTCTCTTACTTCCCCTGCAGCCTGACCGCTTCTCTTACTTCCCCTGCAGCCTGACCGCTTCTCTTACTTCCCCTGCAGCTGACCGCTTCTCTTACTTCCCCTGCAGCTGACCGCTTCTCTTACTTCCCCTGCAGCTGACCGCTTCTCTTACTTCCCCTGCAGCTGACCGCTTCTCTTACTTCCCCTGCAGCCTGACCGCTTCTCTTACTTCCCCTGCAGCTGACCGCTTCTCTTACTTCCCCTGCAGCTGACCGCTTCTCTTACTTCCCCTGCAGCTGACCGCTTCTCTTACTTCCCCTGCAGCTGACCGCTTCTCTTACTTCCCCTGCAGCTGACCGCTTCTCTTACTTCCCCTGCAGCTGACCGCTTCTCTTACTTCCCCTGCAGCCTGACCGCTTCTCTTACTTCCCCTGCAGCCTGACCGCTTCTCTTACTTCCCCTGCAGCTGACCGCTTCTCTTACTTCCCCTGCAGCTGACCGCTTCTCTTACTTCCCCTGCAGCCTGACCGCTTCTCTTACTTCCCCTGCAGCTGACCGCTTCTCTTACTTCCCCTGCAGCCTGACCGCTTCTCTTACTTCCCCTGCAGCTGACCGCTTCTCTTACTTCCCCTGCAGCTGACCGCTTCTCTTACTTCCCCTGCAGCCTGACCGCTTCTCTTACTTCCCCTGCAGCTGACCGCTTCTCTTACTTCCCCTGCAGCCTGACCGCTTCTCTTACTTCCCCTGCAGCTGACCGCTTCTCTTACTTCCCCTGCAGCTGACCGCTTCTCTTACTTCCCCTGCAGCTGACCGCTTCTCTTACTTCCCCTGCAGCCTGACCGCTTCTCTTACTTCCCCTGCAGCTGACCGCTTCTCTTACTTCCCCTGCAGCTGACCGCTTCTCTTACTTCCCCTGCAGCCTGACCGCTTCTCTTACTTCCCCTGCAGCTGACCGCTTCTCTTACTTCCCCTGCAGCTGACCGCTTCTCTTACTTCCCCTGCAGCTGACCGCTTCTCTTACTTCCCCTGCAGGTGCTGGTCATGGCTCCTCCATCCCCCTGCCAGGGCCAGTGCAGTCCTTTCTGCTGGGTCCCCCGGCTCCTGACAACCTGCTCCTTACCTCCTGTGAAAGACGCAGACCAGCTGCTCACTAAACCCCTCTCTACCTGGCACCAGCACCGACTACATTTCCCAGCATCCCTTACAGGTAAATGTGGTGCCATGTGGCTGAGTCCCAGCCAATGGAATCCAAATGGACAGGTGCTTCCAAAGTTGAACCTCCACTTTTCTCCCCAACCACCCAGCCAGGACCCAGAAGGAGGCTGGAGCCACACGAAGGAAAGAACCTGAGTCCATGAACGAAAGGCAAACTGCAGGCTGGAAGCACCAGGCTTTGTATGTGGGAAACAAACTACTGTGCCACGTCACAAGAGCTGGGGTGTGTCTGTTTCAGGAGGTGTTCAATTACCTACTGCCTTTGCCTCCTCTCCTAACGTCCTTGGAGACGCTAGGCAGGTTCCTGCCTCAGGGCCTTTGCATCTGTCATTCCCTCTACTTGAATTCTCTTCTGTCTGAAACCTGAGAAGGCTCCCCCTTCCCTCCATCAGACCCTTCATTAAAGGGCATTTTTTCAGGGGGAATTTTCTGACCATTCTGCCTCAAATAGTTCCTGTTTCCCTCCTTATTTTTTTCCCAAAGCACGTACCCCCTTACAGGGCACTCTATATTTTATTTTATTTTTCAGATAGAGTTTCGCTTGTCATCCAGGCTGGAGTGCAATGGTGTGATCTTGGCTCACCACAACCTCCACCTCCCAGATTCAAGCGATTCTCCTCCTTCCGTCTCCTGAGTAGCTGGGATTACAGGCATACGCCATCATGCCTGGCCAATTTTTCTATTTTTAGTACAGTGTTTCACCATGTTGGACAGGCTAATCTCGAACTCCTGACCTCAGGTGATCCATTCGCCTTGGCCTCCCAAAGTGCTGGGATTACAGGTGTGAGCCACCACACGCAGCCTATATTTTATTTATTTATTGATTGATTGAGACAGTGTCTCCCTCTGTCACCTAGGCTGGAATGCAGTGGTACAGTCACAGCTCACTGCAGCCTCGAGCTGCTAGGCTCAAGTGATCCTCCTGCTTTAGCCTTCTAAAACATTGGGAGAGGTGCACCATTATGCCACACTTTTTCATTTTTTGGCTAGAGATGGGGTCTCACTATGTTACCTAGACAGTTCTCTAAATCCTGGCCTCAAGCAATCCTGCCTTGGCTTCCCAAAGCACTGGGATTACAGGCTTGAGCCACTGTGCCCGGCCTGCACTCTGTATTTTTATTGGTTTATCCTGCTCCATTTCCTCTCTAGAATGTAAATTCCATAAGGTTGCAGGGTCCCTGTGCAGAGCCCCCAGTGCTAAGAAGGCTGCCTGGTGCTCAGTGAGGGTTTGTTCCAATAAATGAACGAATCTCAGTTCCCCGATCTTGGCTCACTGCAACCTCCGCCTCCTAGGTTCAAGTGATTCTCATGCTTCTGCCTCCCAGGTAGCTGGGATTACAGGCATGTGCCACCATGCCTGGCTAATTCTGTATATCAGACCCCTGACCTCAAGTGATCAGCCAGCCTGAGCCTCCCAAAGTGCTGGGATTATAGGTGTGAGCCACCGTGCCTGGCTGTTTCGGGTCTTTAATGAATAAATGTATATAAGGGCTTATAAATATGTAGGGGGCTCAAAGTAGGCATCCTATAAGTTTCCTATTGTTATTATCTCAGTGCCATTCATTCAGCGCAGTGATATGCCCACTCTTGATAGACCTGGGGTGGCAGCAGGGTTGGTGATAAGGATGACCAGCCCCTCTTTCTAAACAATTTCCCCTTGTCCTATAATCTGCAGAGTGGGCAAACCATCCTGAAGGAAGGGCAGTCGCCCAATGAGCAGAGGGAATGGCCAGAGGAAGCATCTGGGTCCACGTGACGGCAGCATCTGCTCAGTCTGGCTTACCCCAGACTTCTCCTCAGGTAATGACGGCACTAACAGAAATAGCTGTGGGCAAGGCACAGTGGCACATGCCTGTAATCCCAACACTTTGGGAGGCCAAGGCAGAAGGATTACCAGACCCCAGGAGTTTGAGACCAGCCTGGGCAACACAGTGAGATCCTCTCTTTACAAAAAATGTAAAAATTAACTGGCTGTGGTGGTGTATGCCTGTGTTCCAGCTACTCAGGAGGGAGGGGTGGGAAGATCACTTGAGCCCAGGAGTTGGAGGCTGCAGTGAGCTATGACTGCACCACTGCACTCCAGCCTGGGCAACAGAGGGAGACCCTGTCTCTAAAAAAGTAAATAAATAAAAATAAAGGCCGGGCGCGGTGGCTCACGCCTATAATCCCAGCACTTTGGGCGGCCGAGGTGGGTAGATCATGAGGTCAAAAGATCGAGACTATCCTGGCCAACATGGTGAAACCCTGTCTCTACTAAAAATATAAAAATTAGCTGAGCATGGTGGTGCACACCTGTAGTCCCAGATCTCTGGGAGACTGAGGCAGGAGAATCACTTAAACCCAGGAGGTGGAGGTTGCAGTGAGCCGAGATCACAACACTTTAGCCTGGGAAGAGAGCGAGACTCTGTCCCAAAAATAAATAAAATAAAATAAAGTTAGCCATGTGCAGTGCCTCATGACTATAATCTCAGCACTTTGGGAGGCCAAGGCAGGAGGATCACCTGACACCAAGAGTTCAAGACCAGCCTGGCCAACGTGGTGAAAACCTGTCTTTACTAAAAATACAAAAATTAGTCAGGCATGGTGGTTCATGCCTGTAATCCCAGCTATTGGGGAAGCTGAGATGAGAGAATCGCTTGAACTGGGAAGGCGGAGGTTACAGTGAGCCAAGATCACACCACTGCACTCGAGCTTGGGTGACAGAGAGAGACTCTGTCTCAAAAAAATAAAAAATAAAAAGTTGAGGCTGGGAGCACTGGCTCATGCCTGTAATCCCAGCACTTTGGGAGGCCGAGGCGGCTGGATCACCAGAGGTCAGGAGTTCAAGACCAGCTTGGCCGACATATCTACTAAAACTACAAACATCTCTACTAAAACTACAAAAAGAAGCCAGGTGTGGTGGTGCACACCTGTAATCCCAGCTACTTGGAAGGCTGAGGCAGGAGAATTGTTTGAATCTGGAAAACAGAGGTTGCAATGAGCCTAGATCGTGTTATTACACTCCAGCCTGCACAACCAGTGCAACACACTGTCTCAAAAATAAAGAAATAAATTTAATTACATTAAATAAAAAAGAAAAAGTTGAGTTGGGGTATAAGGAAGCTGCTCTGGGTGCAGCCCACACCCCAGCCTGACCCATCACCAAATGGACCAGTTAGATCGCTCCTGGGGCCTAGGGTTCCTCGACTGACACGTGGGGCTGATGACAAGGCCATGGGGAAGATTCAGGAGTGGCACACAGTGAGGGGGGCAGTAAAAGGCAGAGGAGGGTGGAAGGCAGGTCACAGATCACAGGACAGGGCAGCCAAGGGGCCACGGCATGCTGGAAGCCTGGCCGACCCTTGGCGGGATGGCTGTTGGTGGCGGCACCCACCCACAGAACACCTCTCGCCTTCAGCTTCCCCTTGGCCAGCTGGGATGCCACCTGTTCCGAGATGCCAGCCAGCGCAGGCTCAGCCCCAGTAACTGCCCCACCCTCAGCCGTGACAGGGCGCCTGGCAGCAGTCCCCACACTCCTTTTCTAGCCAATGCAAAACCCCTGAGGCCACAGGCAGCCCCCTCACCACCCACCAGGGCCAACTGGGCCTCCCTCCCTAAGTCCCTCCTGGCTGCCCCATGGGATAGGAAGGAGAGAGGCAGGGACCTCGAGGGTGGGAGGGAGGAGGAGAAAGGGGAATGAAAGGAAACAAGACAGAGGGAAGATGAGACAGAGAAAATGAAAGATCAAGGAAGGAGGAGACAGAGGCAGCTCAAGAGAGGAGAAATGGGGACCAGGAGGGAAACAGAATGAAGTGGGGACGGCAAGAGTGAAGCCTGGGAAGGCAGAAAGTGAGAGAATGGTCTGGGAGCCAGAAAATCAAAAAGGAGGTAGCGGCCAGCTTAGCCAGGACTCAAGAGGGCATCTCAGCCTACAGAGCCATAAGGCCGGGATGGTTCAGGCGGCCATGTCGCTATGGGGGCCGAGCCCTGCCCCAGCAGGCCTGCCCCCGCCCCAGCTGCCAAGCCAGGGCTCCTGGGCCCTCAGCCAGCCCTGCCGGGGACTGGCCTTGGGCACAGATGGGCAAACTGCTTCGTAAGGAGGGACTGCCTCCCCACTTGGGCTCTGTAAGGACTCAAAGAGGTCAAGGCCATGAAGGGATCAGCCTGGCACACCATGTCCCCGCTCTGTCCCAGTGCTAGAGCCAGAGCCAGAGCCAGAGCCACTGTGGCTGCTATTCTGTTTGCAATGCTGGCCTAGGGCTGGTAAGAAGCGTCCAGACATGGGCGGCCCCGTGTGCCCTCGCCCCACAGACTCACCTTTGTCACTGTCAGGGTCTGAGTCACTGAGGGGCTTCAGGGGCGAGTGCAGGTCCTGGAAGTAGCGGTGGCCAGCTTCGCACTGCCACACGGCCGTGGTGTACAGGCCGAAGGTGGGGTCTAGCTCCGCCAGGTGCGGCTCGTACGGGCAGCGGTGCTTGTGGTCCTCGTACCAGATCACGACGTTCTTCAGGCAGTTCACGTTGCGTCGCCGCCCTGTGGACACAGCCGAGGGGTGAGTGTACGGGACAGGGCTCAGCCCATGGTGACACGGCTGCCTGAACCACCTGGGCCTTATGGGTCCCGTGGGTTGGAAGGCCCTCCTGAGTGCCATCCAGGCCTGTACCCAGTTTAGAGAGGCAAACTGAGGCTCAGAGAGGAGAGGCACCCCTAAAAGGACTGTTCAATTAGTCGTCATATAAACAGTGGAGGCTGGCACACAGTAGGTGCATAATTGTTAGCTGCTCGTTATTGTTCTAATCCTCATCAAACACCTAGACCAGTGCAGTCCTCAGGCCCAGGACTCTCTGGCTCCCGCCCTAACCACCCCCTATAGCCACAAGGGGGCGCCTGTCAACACCCGAGTCAAGCTTCGTCCCTTTCTGCGCAGAATCCCCAACAAGAGCATGGCACAATGCCTTACGCCTGCAATGTCAGCACTTTGGGAGGCAGAGGCCGGCAGATCACTTAAGGCCAGGAGTTTGAAACCAGACTGGCTAAGATGGCAAAAACCTGTCTTCACTAAAAATACAAAAATTTGGCTGGAGGGCAAAGTGTGCAGATCATAAGGTCAGGAGTTCGAGACCAGCCTGATCAACATGGTGAAACCCTGTCTCTACTAAAAATAGAAAAATTAGCCAGGCATGGTGCCTTGCACCTGTAATCCCAGGTATTCAGGAGGCTGAGGCAGGAGAATTACTTGAACCCGGGAGGTAGAGGTTGCAGTGAGCCGAGATCACACCATTGCACTCCAGCCTGGGTGACAGAGCAAGACTCTGTCTCAAAAAAAAAAAAAAATTAGCCAGGCATGGTGATGAGCGCCTGTCGTCACAGCTACTTGGGAGGCTGAGATAGGAGTGTCGCTTGAGCCCGGGAGGTGGAGGATGCAGTGAGCCGAGACTGCACCACCGCACTCCAGCCTAGGTGACACAGCAAGACCACCACCCTCAGGGTAAAAGCCAAAGTCCTCCTTTCAGCCCACAAGTTCCACTGTGACTTGTCACCTCACTGCCCTCACCAGCTTGGTCACTCTACTCCAGCCACACAGCCTCCTCACTATTCCTGGAGAGGGCTAGGTGTGGCCTTGCTTCAGGCCTTTGCATAGGCTGTGCCTGCTTCCTCCAGATAACTGTCTTGCTCCCTCCCCACATCACTCAGATCTCCCCCAAATGCACCCACCTCTGAGAGGCCACCCCCTGCCCAGTCACTGTAGTTGACCACAACTTGCTGTCTGTTTTCTCCAGGTAGTACCTAGATGCCATCCGTGGCCATTTGTTTACATGTGCCTTGACTGTCTCTCCCACCAGAATGTCAATTCCTCAAGAGCAGGAACACTGCTTTTTTGCTCCTTCTGTACCCCCAGTTCCCCCGGCCAGGGCCTGGCACACAGTAGGTACTCCAGGAACATTGGCTGGTTGAGAGAACACTGTGTAAGGGGTGAGCATGGTGGAGCCAGACGGCCTGGGTTTGAATCCTGGCTCTGCCCCTTCCCAGCTGGGTGGCTTCTCAGAGCCCCATGTGCCTCCTCTGAGCTGGGAGAAATAAGGGATTCCCATCCCTGAGGGCTGCCAGGTAGGAGGGGAGTGAAGACATTAGCAGGGCACAGAACAAGGCTGGGCACACAGTGAGTGCTGGGCAATGGATCTGTGACTTGTGTGATGGTCCTGGTCCCTTAGCCAAGTGGGATGACAGCATGCCCCCCAACCCCACCCTCTGGGCTAGGAGATGAAGAGGGGGCCCAGAAGAGGGGTCTGGGTCTAGGGAATGCACCCAGGGTCTCCAACCACGAGGGCAATAGAGTCATCGCCCACAGCCACCTCTCCAGCCCAGTGCTTTCCCTCCTTATTTCGCTCCTCAACCCTTAAGGAAGCTCATCCCTTGAGGAGTGCAATCCCTTGAGGATTCAGGGTCAAGGTCATAGGTCACCCCTACCTCTGAAGAATCCTAAGAAGGGGAGGGGCTCACTGCCACCAGGGGACCTTCACCTTGCTGGAAATGGCCTGGGACCCCCAGCTCCAGGGCTCAGAGCTATGCAGACCCTAGCTGTTCGGACTCCCACTGACTGGTAGCCAGCAGGACAGGAGGGATGACCTCCAGACCTCTCCTCTAACCACCAGTGCCTTGCTCCCTCTGCCCTTTGGGCTCTGCACAAGCTGTTCCCTCTGCTCCGCTCGCCCCTGACAGACTCCCACGCCGGGAGCAGGAGACTGAGGAAGCCAAGCACACTGCACCTGAGACACACAAGCCTGGCTTTGAGGTCTGGCTCTGCCGATTCTAACTGTGCTGCCAGTGGCAGCCCCCAGGCCTTTCTGGGCCTCGATCTCCATATTCCCGCCACTCCCACCTCTCCCCACCTCCTTCAGGCTGAGCTTCCACTTACTTTTCTTCCGCTTTGGCTTTTTGGGGACCTGCTCCCAAGGCTTCCTGCAACAGAGAGAGGCAGTGAGGGTGAACACAGGGCCAGCGCTGGTCCTGTCTGACCTATAAGTAACAACAATGGCTACAGCCACTGCTCATGGTGCACTGAAACAAAATCTGAACTTTTTTTTTTTGGGACGGAGTTTCACTCTTGTTACCCAGGCTGGAGTGCAACGGCGTGATCTCGGCTCACTGCAACCTCCGCCTTCTGGGTTCAGACAATTCTCCTGCCTCAGCCTCCTGAGTAGCTGGGACTACAGGCGTGCACCACCACGCCCAGCTAATTTTTTGTATTTTTAGTAGAGACAGGGTTTTGCTATGTTGGTCAGGCTGGTCTCCAACTCCCAACCTCAGGTGACCCGCCTGCCTCAGCCTCCCAAAGTGCTGGGATTACAGGTGTGAGATACTGTGCCCAGAGCTTTTTTTTTTTTTTTTAAATTGAGATGGAGGCTCATTCTGTCACCCAGGCTGGAGTGCAGTGGTATGATTTTGGCTCACTGCAGCCTCCACCTCCCAGATTCACATGATTATCCTGCCTCAGCCTCCTGAGTAGCTGGGATTACAGGTGTGAGCTACCTTTCCTGTTTTTTTTTTTTTGAAGGAGTCTTGCTCTATCACTCAGGTTGGAGTGTGGTGGTGTGACCTCAGCTCAAGCGATTCTCATGCCTCCAGAGTAACCGGGATTACAGGTGTGCACCAGAGTAGCTGGGATTACAGGCGTGTGCCACCATGCTGAGCTAATTTTTTGTTTGTTTGTTTGTTTTTTAAGTAGAGACAGAGTTTCACCACATTGGCCATGCTTGTCTTGAACTTCTGACCTTAGGTGATCCACCCACTTTGGCCTCCCAAAGCGTTGAGATTACAGGTATGGGTCAGCGCACCAAGCCAGAAATCTGAACTTGTAATGTACCTGTCCCCAGCTCCAGCACTGTGTCACCAGGTCCCTTGCTTATGCTCTCTCCCCGACTGCCACCAGCCCTGGGAGGGGGATCTAGTATTATCGCCACCTTAAGGAGCAGGAAAAACAGTCTTGGAGGGGTGAGGCCACCTGCCCGGGGTCCTAGGTCAGGGAGTGGAGAAATAACAAAGTAGGTATGAAAGGTTGGTGTGGAAGCAGAATTCCAAGACGGCCCCTGTTCACCGGGGACACAGGCCTGTGTGATCCTCTTCCCCTGAGCCAGGCAGGCCTGTGAGTAGGACTGGATGCTAAGCCTTGGTTAGGTGCCTGTGAGTTAATCAAAAGGGAGCATATCTTGTAGGGCACAGTGGCTCAAGCCTGTAGTCCCAGCTCCTTGAGAGGCGGAGAGTGGTCTTGGCCCACAGCCAGCAAGTCAGTGGGTACTGTCTGGGTGTGGTGTCTCACACCTGTAATCCTAGCATTTTGGGAGGCTGAGGCAGGAGGACTGCTTGAAGCCAGGGGTTCAAGAGCAGCCTGGGCAACATAGCAAGACCCACCTCTCTCTCTCTTTCTCTCTCTCTCTCTGTGTGTGTGTGTGTGTGTGTGTGTGTGTGTGTGTGTATATATATATATATATATTTTTTTTTTTTTTAAAGGCCAGGCTTGATGGCTCATGCCTGTAATCCCAGCACTTTAAGAGTCTAAGAGGGGTGGATTGCTTCAGGCCAGAAGTTGGAGACCAGCCTGGAAAACATGGTGAAACTCTGACTCTAAAAAAAAAAAAAAAAAAACAGAAATTAGCCAGGCAGAGTAGCATGCACCCATAGTCCCTCAGATGGCTGAGGTAGGAGGATCACCTGAGCCTGGGAAGGTCAAGGCTGCAATGAGCTGTGATCACGCCACCGCACTCCAGCCTGGGCAACAGAGTGAAACCCTGTCTCAAAAACAGAGAAACAAATAAAAACAAACAAAACACAATCTTGGTCCTGCTGCAACCCTGTCACTTAGTCATCAACAAGCAAATGATACAATGATCATTATGATTATCAGTATCACTGTGGAGCCCGGACCCCCTGGCACACTGGCCTCCCTGCTGTGGCCCAGACCTGCTCTTGCCACAGACATCCTGACAACCAGTCTAGTGTCTCTTATCAGCAAAACTGCCCACCCCAACCTGACTCCTGCCTAGCCCTGTTAACAATTCTCAGCCAGATACCCATCTGGTCCCCAGGACTGCACCTTGCGGCTCCTCCATCCTTCCTAGCCCAGGCTCTGCTCCTACTGCGGGCTCTGTTCCTCCACGTCCCATCCCATGTGACTCTCTCTCTTCCTATGGCTCTACCCTCCCCTGCAAGGGGACTCATTGGCTGTGGAGACCCTCACCCAACCCAAAACTGAAGTCTGACTGTTTGCCCAGGCTGGAACACGGTCATGCCATCTCACCTCACTGCAACCTCTGCCTCCCAGGTTCAGGTGATTCCCCTGCCTCAGACTCCTGAGTAGCTGGAATTACAGGTGTCTGCCACCATGCCCAGCTAATTTTTGTACTTTTAGTAGAGACAGGTTTTGCCATGTTGGACAGGCTGGTCTCAAACTCCTGATCTCCAAGGATCTTCTCACTTCGGCCTCCCAAAGTCCTAGGATTACAAGCATGAGCCACTGTGCCAGCCCCAAACCCAAGTCCTAATGTCCACAGCCACCTCCACCCACTCACAGCTGGAGGCTGGAAGTGTCACACTGCAGTGGGAACAGTCTTGGGTATCAGCCAGACCCAAGTTCAAGACTAAACTCGTTTTGTTTTTTGAGAGAGTCTCACTCTGTCACCCAGGCTGGAGTGCAATGGCACGATCATAGCTCACTGCAATCACCTCCTGGGTTCAAGCACTTTTCCTGCCTCAGCCTCCAGAGTAGCTGTGATTATGGCATGTGCCACCACCCCCGGCTAATTTTTGTATTTTTAGTAGAGACAGGGTTTCGCCATGTTGGTCAGGCTGGTCTCGAACTCCTGACCTCATGATTCACCCGCCTTAGCCTCCCAGAGTGCTGGGATTACAGGCCACCTGCCTGGCCTCAGCTCTGGTATCAACTGCCTGTGTGACCTCAAGCAGGTCTTATCCCCTCTGAGCCTCAGTTTTCCTGTGTGTGAAGTGGAAACAGTAGCAGTGCCTTCCACACAGAGTCAGCACAAGACCAAAGAAGGTCATGTGTAATATGGTGAGCGCCACTCTCCAACTCCAAGGCACGGCTTTCTCCCTCAACCTGCCTTCCCTGTCCTGTCTGCTTCTCCAAGTTCGGCCACTTCTGTGACTTGCAGCAGAGGCCACAGTTACCGGGGCTCCTCAGGCCTTGGCTTTGCAGTTCCCTGTCATTTGCTTTCAATCTTCACTCAGTCATTCCCACCAGCATCTAAATCTGCCATTATTTCTTTCAACTTGGATTAAAATCATTTTGATACCCACCTTCCCCAACAGCCCCTTCCCCATGTCTTTTTTTCTTTTTCTGAGACAGGGTCTCACAATGTTGCCCCAGCCTGAGTGCAGTGGCATCATCACAGCTCACTGAAGCCACAACCTCCAGGGCTCAATGGATCCTCCTGCCTCAGCTTCCCGAGCAGATGGGACCACAGGAATGCGCCATCACCCCCAGCTAACTATGGCATTTTTTGGTAGAGATTGGGTTTCACCACGTTGTCCAGGTTGGTCTCAAGTTCATGGGCTCAAGCAAACCTCCTGCCTTGGCCTCCCAAAGAGCTGGGATTACAGGCGTGAGCCACTGCGCCCAGCCTCCTTCCTCATTTCCCCGCTTTGCCACAGTTGTCTACACTCGCTGTCTCCATGTCCTCTCCTCCGTCTCACTGGAAATCCTCCAGTCAGAGCTCTTCTCCATCACGCCACACAATGTCCCATCACAGTCGCCAGTGACTGCCGTTTTACTTGACCCAACAGCACTGGACCCGATAGATGCTTCCTTTGGCCTCCTGGGCGCTGCCACTGGCCCTGGGGCTGCTGCTTCTCTCACCTCCCTTACCAAGGAGAGTGAATGCCACACAGGACTGTTTTCTGTCTAAAAGTATCCCATAAGTAATTTTTTTTTTTTTTGAGACAGAGTCTTGCTCTGTCACCCAGGCTGGAGTGCAGTGGTACAATCACGGCTCATTGCAACCTCCACCACCCGGGTTCAAGCTATTCTCCTGCCTTAGCCTCCCGAGTAGCTGGGACTACAGGTGCACGCCACCATGCCTGGCTAATTTTTTGTATTTTCAGTAGAAATGAGGTTTCACTGTGTTAGCCAGGATGGTCTCGATCTCCTGACCTCGTGATATACCTGCCTTGGCCTCCCAAAGTGCTAGGATTACAGGCGTGAGCCACTGCACCCAGCCCTCTTTTCATTTTTTATTGTTGTCAAGAGTAGACTGAACCTCTTTGGACTCATAACCAGCTTTACTAATTGTCGACTCTTGGCTAACCTTGTTTTACAAGTGTAACCATCCATCATTCCAGCTGCACACATCCTAGAGAGAGTTTCTTCTAAAATATAAACCAGGCTAGGCCGAGCATGGTGGCTCATGCCTGTAATCCCAGCACTTTGGGAGGCCAAGGCGGATGGATTGCCTGAGCTCAAGAGTTCAAGACCAGCCTGGCCAATATAGTGAAACACGAACTCCACTACAAATACAAAAAATTAACTGGACATGGTGGCGGCCGCCTGTAATCCCAGCTACTCGGGAGGCTGAGGCAAGAGAATCACTTGAACCCAGGAGGCGGAGGTTGTAGTTAGCTGAGATCGCAACACTGCACTCCAGCCTGGGTGACAGAGTGAGACTCTGTCACACACACACACACACACACACACACACACACACACCCCAGGCTGGGTACAGTGGTATGTGACTTGTAGTCCCAGTTACTCTGGAGGCTGAAGTGGGAGAATCACTTGGGCCCAGGAGTTCAAGACCAACCTGGGCAACATAGCAAGACTGCATCTCAAAAATAAATAAAAAAGGAAATAAAAGGGTGGGCATGGTGGCTCACACCTATAATCCCAGCACTTTGGGAAGACAAAGCAGGCAGATCACTTGAGGTCAGGAGTTCGAGACCAGCCTGGCCAACATGGTGAAACCTTGTCTCTACTAAAAATACAAAAATCAGCCAGGTGTGGTGGCACATATCTGTAATCCCAGCTACTTGGGAGGCTGAAGCAGGAGAATCAGTTGAACCCGGGAGGTAGAGGTTGCAGTGAGCTAAGATTGTGCCACTGTACTACAGTCTGGGCGACAAATCGAGACTCCATCTCAAAAAAAGGGGTGGGGGTGGGATAAAGGCAGACCATGCCACTTCTTTCTCTGTATAAAATCTTACACTTAAGAAAAAGCTCCCACCTCACTGGGAGGAAAAACCGGAATCCTCTCCATGGCCCTGCATGACCTTCCTGTCACCAATCTGTCCTTGTCTTCCCTTCTCCTCCTCACTCATTGCAGTCCAGCCATACAATCCTCTTCAGTGTCCCTGGCACACAACAGGCAGGTCCTGCCTCAGGGCCTGTGCATCTGCTATTCCCTCTGCCTTAACTCTTCCACAGAGACCCGCAGGGTACCTCGTAGGTTCCTTCAGGTGTTTACTGAAATGCTGTGTTCTGAATGTGACCACCTAAGTCTCCCTGTTTTAACTTCCAACTCACACTCCTCATTTCACTTTTGTTTTTTCCAGAGCCCCTATCTCTCTCTCATGGACTATTTAATTTACTTCTGTTTCTGGTCTGCAGTAAATAAGCCTTTTGCCAGGTACGGTGGTTTACAACTATAATCCCAGCACTTTGGGAGGCCGAGGAGGGAGGCTCCTTGAGCCAAGGATTTCGATACCAGCCTGAGCAACATGGTGAGACTCTGTCTCTACAAAAAATAAAAAAAATTAGCTGAGTGAGGTGATGCACCTGTGGTCCAAGCTACTAGGGAGACTGAGGCAGGAGGATCCCTTGAGTCTGGGAGGTTGAGGCTGCTGTGAGCTATCAACATGCCACTGTACTCCAGTCTGGGTAACAAAGTGAGACCCTGTCTCAAGAACAAACAGACAAGGCTGGGCACAGTGGCTTATACCTGTAACCCCAGCACTGTGGGAGGCTGAGGCCAGAGAATCACTTGAGCCTAAGAGTTTGAGACCAGCCTGGGCAACATAGGGAAACCTCTGTCTCTAAAAAAAAAAGTACAAAAATCAGCCAGGTGGGGTAACGTGCACCTGTGGTCCCAAATACTCAGGAGGTGGAGGTAAGCGGATCATCTGAGCCCACGGGGTTGAGGCTGCAGTGAGCCGTGATCATGACACTGCACTCCAGTCTGGGCAAGAGTGTGAGACTCTATCTCAAAAAGAAAAAAAAAAAAAATCCAGGCCTTTGAACAAGCCATCCACTGTGTCCACCAGAATGTCTGCTCCATGGGGCAGCTATCTTTGCGTTCCCAGCATTTCCAGTCCTGCTCTTGAGCATATAAACCAGCTTGCTGTCCTAGGAAAGGTGGGTACAATTCAGCAGGATCTGTTTGATTCTTGACTCTCAGAATCTCTCCCCAGAGAAACATGTGAACATGTGCACCTGAAAACCAGGGCAGAACAAAGATTTCCTTGCAGCACTGCTTTTGATAGGGAATAAACATCACTCTCCTAAAAATTAATACTCAGGAAATTCACTACCTGCCGGGCACTGTCCTAAGCTCTTTGCCTATTTTAACTCAATCATGACATCAACGTAAAAGGCAGGAAGGGAAAAACTCCATCCACACTGCTCCTTCTCAAGATTGAGAATTTTCTCTACAAAAGACAGGCCTCTCTGCCCTCCACCTGCCCAGCTAACTCGGGAGCTCCTCTTCATCCGAGTCTCCCTGGACTGAGTTGCTTCACAGAACTAGGAGGTTTAGGGGAGTGCGGCCCAGGTTGCAAAGGGTCCTCCAGGTGTGCTGAAACCTAGTTTGGTTGTGGGAATGGGGCCATATGGAATCCCAGATGGGGCACCAGAACTTCATGAAGTTCAGGGCTGAGTGACCCAAGGTGTCCACAGTCCCAGGCCAGGTGGGGAATTGAGCGGGGGAGGATGAGACTGCTGAGGGGGCGGGGCTGCCGCGCCAGGGACTGGGTAGTTACAAGGCCTGGAGGTAGGGCCAGTCCCAGGATTGGGCCGCTAGAGTTCTAAGGGGAGGGACCAAGCGCTCAAAAAGGCGGGTCAAGGGGCTGGGTGTATCCTAGGATTGGGCAGCCGGAACGATGGGAGGCGGGGCCGCGAGCCAGGCGCGTCCCTGCCGGGCAGTCAAAGACCTAGGCCTGCGGCCCGGCAGCCCGGCGGCCCGGCTCCTGGGCGGGGCTCGCAGGTGCTGAGGGCGGGGCCTTGAGACGGAGGGGGCGGGGGCACAACCGGCTGGGGCTGGGGGCGTCTCCTCCCTCGCTCCCTCCCTCCTTTGGGCCGGGCCCCCTCACCCGTGGCGGCCGCTCCGCTGGCCGCGTTCCAGAGAGATGAGGTAGGCAGCGAGCTTGGCGTCGCTCCAGCCGCTGCGGCGCCGCAGGTCCACCCAGGGCCCGTGCGCCTCGCCCAGGTACACGCGCCGCACGTCGTACTTCTTCCGGGACTCGAGCCGTCGCCGGGCCCGGTCCGACTCCGTGAGTCGCGGCCGGCCCCGCGCCTTGCGGCCCGCTGCGCCCTCCTCGGTGGCTGCCTCCTCACCCGCGCCCGCCTCAGCCTCCACCTCGGGCTCGGCCGCCCGCTCCGCCATCCCCCCCACCCTGGTTACCAGCCTCCCCCGTTGTTAGGAGCCCGACCGGAAGTGGCGCGCATATTCTGCGCTGCCGGGAAATTTCTCACGGTCTCTCGCTGCCCCGGGGCGCCAAAAGGAGACCAATAACGGAAACTGCGCATGCGCACGACCAGCCCCGCCCCTCTTCGGTTAAACTTTCTAGCTTCGTTTGGTGGGAGAGAACCAGAAGAGCCTGCAGACTCTGCAGGGGTCTCGCTTGCCCATCGCTGGCAGCCTGAGATCCTGGGGAGGGGATGCCACACTGCCAAAGAGGTGGGAAGGGAGCCCCATGCAGCAAAACATTTATTTGCTCCACACTCAAAGGGCATCTCATGCCTTCATTCCAGTCCACCATCTCCTCAGGCCACAGACTGTGCCTTCCTGGAAGCTCAGACTCAGCTCTGGCCCTCCCGCTGTCGCTGCAGGTTGTTGTCTTCTTCCTCGTGGTCCTCGGGCGGGGGTGGCTCCTCTAGCCCTGCAGATGTCTGGAGCTCCCCGGCGGGCCCAGCCAGGCGGAAGACCACGGGGATCTGAGCCAGGGCTGGGTTGGTCTCCTGCAGGTACTGGATCCACCTGGCCAGCGTTGCCTGGTCGTGGGCACCCGCTATGCACATGGCGAAGACAGGGCCTTCCTCCACTGTTGGAAGAGATGCAAACCTCAGGGTTTGCCCAGTTGGGGCTGCAGCGGGTAACCCATGCCTACACCTTTTTAGGTATTTTACACTCCCTTCCACTTTCTTTTTCTGTGATGGAGTCTCGCTCTGTCGCCCGGGCTGGAGTGCAGTGGCGAAATCTCAGCTCACTGCAACGTCTGCCTCCCAGGTTCAAGTGATTCTCCTGCCTCAGCCTCCTGAGAAGCTTCGATTACAGGCGCACATCACGATACCCAGCTAGGTTTATTTTTAATAAAGACGGGGTTTCACCATGTTGGCCGGACTGGTCTCCAATTCCTGACCTCAAATGATCCACCTGCCACAGCCTCCCAAAGTGATGGGATTAAAGGCCTGAGCCACTGCACCCAGCCTCCTCCTACCTTCTTGTACCTCCAGACCTTTGCACAAGCTAGCCCTGCTGCCTAGGCTGCCCACTCCACACTTCACCTGGGCGATGCCTTCTGGGACTTCCAGATTCTGCCAGGAAGCCCTCCTGACCTCCTACTCAAGGCATGCTCATCTCCTCAGCTCCCCAAAGTGTAATTTGCCTGTTCCTTCACTGACCCGAGCGACTAGGCTTGTCCTGGTGACTCCCAGTAGTCAGCACAGAGGTGTGGAAGGAGGGAATGACCAAAGGCCGACAGGGTGGGTGGCCTCAGGTCTGGAGCCCCTGGGACAAATGAGTGTGTGTGGCAGGAGGACCGGGGGTAAGTGGACTGTGTCTCAACTTGGGCCTACCCATTGACCCCAGAGGCCGCCCCTCATCCTGGAAGTCCTGCCTGTCCAGGTTTTTGCCTTTTTTTTTTTTTTTTAAGAGTTAGGGTCTGTCACCCAGGCTGGTGTGCAGTGGCTGGATCATAGTTCACTGCAACCTCAACTCCTGGGCAAGTGACCCTCCCACCTCAGTCTGTTGGAGGGCTGGGATTACAGGCACATGTGTGAGCCACGGCATGGGGTTCAGTTTTTACCTTCATCGATGTCAAACTCATAGTCATCCCAGCCATGCCTCGCATAATCTAGGTCCAGCGACATCGGGTAGTAGAGGTTCCACTCCTCTGGCATCTCTTCCACTTCCTGCTCCAAGGAGGGTAGTGCAGGCAGGGTCAGAGGTTGGGGCTCTCGCAGTCTCCCTTCCCCAGCCTCTCCCACTCGCCCTCAGGGTGGTGCCAGCCCATTCCCCAGCTCTGACACATGCTCTGCTTTAAGCCCTCACCCTCTCCTCCAAGGGCAGCAAGTCAGCTCTGAGGATGTGGTAGTACACACACTTGTTTCGGAGCCACAGGGAGAAGGGACCCTCGACAAAGATAGGCCGGGTTGGGTTGTGGCGAGCCAGGGCAGCCTGCTGATCGGGACTCTGGATTCCTGGTGTGGAGACATACATGCTCTGTGCCCTGTGTGGGAGTCTCCCCAAAGGCCCAGGGAGCCCAATTTGGGCCCAGCAGGAACCTGGCAGGGCCTGGGGCAGGTTAGAGGCCTGGCCAACCCCATGCTCTCAGGACTTACCTATGATGTGGGGCTGGGTGGGATCTGCTACATCTGTTGAGTCTTTGGAAGAAGCAGTCTGCAAGGAAGAGAAGGGATGTAATCTTGTAACCCCCAACCCCCTGCAGAGGAATTGGGGACAGAGAAACAGAAAGGGAGATATCAGCAAATTGAGGACACCTCTCCTAGACCTGGTGTGTGACCCTCCATCCCATCCCCTCCTCCCTCTCTCCCATTTGGCAATAGCCCCCAATCTTTAGGATGCTCACCCTGAGGGTAGCACCCTGGAGCCAGCCCACCTGTGTCAAAATCCTAACTCTGTCACAAACTGTGTGACCTCGGCCAAGTCACTGTACCTTTGTGCCTCAGTTTCTCCAGCTGCACAATAGGGATAACAGCACTTAATTCTTTGTTTTTTTCTTTTTTAAAGATGGGGTCTCCCTCTCTGTTGTCCATGCTGGAATACAGTGGCATGATCATAGCTCATATAGCCTTGAACTCCTGGGCTCAAGTGATCCTCCCACCTCAGTCTCTGAAGTAGCTGGGTCTACACATGCACACCACTGTGCCTGGCTAATTTTATTTTATTTATTTATTTATTATAATTTCATTTTTCATATGGAGTTTTACTCTTGTTGCTCAGGCTAGAGTGCAGTGGTGCGATCTTGGCTCATTTTAGCCTCTGCTTCTTGGGTTCAAGTGATTCTCCTGCCTCAGCCTCCTGCGTAGCTGGGATTACAGGCACCTGCCACCACGCCTGGCTAATTTTTTATATTTTCAGTAGAGACAGGGTTTTGCCGTGTTAGCCTGGCTGGTCTCCAACTCCTGGCCTCAGGTGATCCGCTTGCCTGGGCCTCCCAAAGCACTAGGATTATGGGCATGAACCTAACTTTGGGTAGTTATAAAACATGTAGAACAGTGCCTGGCAGGTAATAAGTGCTCAATGCTTGTGAATTAACGAAAGAAAAATAACTTCACATATACAGAATATCCCAGGAAGGAGACATTAGAAGCAAATGATAGCTTTCACCTCTGTGGGGGACAGGGTGGGAAGGAATACCTTTCGGTATCTTTTAAAATGTTATACCCTGAACATAATTCAGAAACACTAGACAATTTTTTTTTTTGAGATGAAGTTTCACTCTTGTTGCCTAGGCTGCAGTGCAATGGCACGATCTCAGCTCCGTGCGATCTCAGCTCACAGCAACTTCTACCTCCTGGCTTCAAGCGATTCTCCTGCCTTCGCCTCCTGATTAGCTGGAATTACAGGTATACACCACCATGCCTGGATTTTTTTTTTTTTTTTTTTTTTGCATTTTTAGTAGAGACAGGGTTTCGCCATCCTGGCCAGGCTGGTCTCAAACTCCTGACCTTGTGATCTGCCCACCTTGGCCTCCCAAAGTCCTGGGATTACAGGTGTGTGAGCCACCATGCATGGCCAGAAACATTTTTTTTTTTTTAAACAGACAGGTTTTTGCTCTGTCGCCCAGTCTGGTGTGCAGTGGTGTGATCATGGCTCACTGCAGCCTTGACTTCCTGAGTTCAAGTCATCCTCCTGCCTCAGCCTCCTGAGTAGCTGGGGCTACAGGCATGCATCACCACTCCCAGCTAATTTTCATATTTTGTTGGTAGAGATGAGGTTTTGCCATGTTGCCCAGGCTGGTATCAAATTCCTGGGCTCAAGCAATCCATCTGCCTTAGCCTCCCAAAATTACAGGCATGAGTCACCATGCCTGGCTTTATTTTCCTCAATGAGATAGGGGAGAAGAATACTTAAATACAAATGATATAGATGAAAAAAAAAAACAAAAGACATATATCGTCTTGCAAATGTATAGAACGTCTCTAGAAAGAGACAAGGAAATAGTTACCTCTGGGGAAGGAGACGGGGGTGAGAGGGGGCCAGGGTAGAAGCAGAGGATTCGTCACTATGTGCTTTTATGTGCAGTTTGGCCTTTTAGTGCATTGCTTTGTAAAATGAAGAAATGAACTAAAAACAACCCTTCCCCCCGACATTCTACTGCTGCTCTCAAGGTGTCTCTCACCTGGACCCACAACCTATCCACCATCATGTACATGGCCGCCAGGGGGGGACACATTTTCAGTTGCAGATTTTTCCAGAAACATGATTCTAACCCTATCCCTCTTTTTTTTTTTCTTTTGAGATGGAGTCTTGCTCTGTGGCACAATCTTGACTCACTGCAACCTCTGCCTCCGACAGTTCAAGCAATTCCCCTGGGTCAGCCTCCTGAGTAGCTGGGACTACAGACATGTGCCACCACACTTGGCTAATTTTTTTTTTTTTTTGTATTTTAGTAGAGACAGGGTTTCACCATGTTGGCCAGGATGGTCTTGAACTCCTGACCTCATGATCGCCTGCCTGGGCCTCCCAAAGTGGTGGGATTACAGGTGTGAGCCACCGTGCCTGGCCTCCTACCCATCTTTTTAAATGCCCCCCACCCCTCAGGTGGCTCTCCCCACCAACCAAGATTCAAGATCACGTTCTTTAATCAGGTGCCCCCACTCCCTGCACCTGATTCCCTGGTACATACTGCTCCCTCTGCCCAGAGTCCTCTGCTCTCCTCACCTCCTCCAGGAAGCCCTGCCAGCCCACTCGGTTCCCACAGAGCTTTGGGCTTCTCCATCTCAGAACCACTGGCCCTTAAGGAAACTGTTATCCGGGGCTGGCCTCCAGGACCGGATGACAAGTGCTGTGAGGGGCTCTCTTTGGATCCCCTGTGTGACCTGGCATGAGCAGGGGCCCCCTCGGACACTGAGATGGGGGTGTTATTCCACTCAGTCATTCAACAAACCACTGCCAAGTGTCATCCTTGCACCAAACCCTGTGCCCAGCCTTGGGAGATAGGAGGGAGACTGAGTCATGGTGAATGAGAAACAAAGCCCAGCATGGTGAAGGGTTGGTGTCTTGGCCAGGGAGGTCAGGAAGGGCATCCTGATTAGGAACAGCGGAACTGAGACCGGAATAACATGAAGTTCATGGGGAACAGTGTTCCTGGCAGAAGGAACAAGGGGTACATAGGCCTGTGGTGGGAATTGACACAGAACACTCCAGGAACAAAAAAGAAGGAAGATGCCAGGCCGGGCATGGTGGCTCATGCTTGTAATCCCAGTACTTAAGGAGGCCAAGGTGAGCAGATCATGAGGTCAGGAGATTGAGACCATCCTGGCTAACACAGTGAAACCCTCCTGTCTCTACTAAAAATACAAAAAATTAGGTGTGGTGGCAGGTACCTGTAGTCCCAGGTACTAGGGAGGCTGAGGCAGGAAAATCGCTTGAACCCAGGAGGCAGAGGTTGCGGTGAGCCGAGATCGTGCCATTGCACTCCAGCCTGGGTAATGAGCGAAACTCAAAAAAAAAGAGAAGTCAAAGGGGCTTCTTTGCCCCTTATACTATGTGAGCACACAGCAAAAAGGTGTCATTTTTGAAGCAGAGGGCAGACCCTCACCAGACCTCCATCTGGTGGCACCTTGATCTTGAACTTCCCAGCCTCTAAAACTGTGAGCAGTAAATTTCTGTTGTTCATAAATGACCCACGCTAAGATTTCGTTAGAGCAGCCTGAATGGACTGAAACAGCTCAAGCTGTGCTAGTAGTAAGGACCATGGGAACCTGCCAGAGGATTCAGCTAGAGAATCAGAACTTAATTCGCTGCAGGCACAGTGCCTCATGCCTGTGACCCCAGCACTTTGGAGGCCAAGGCAGGAAGATCGCTTGAGCCCAGGAGTTCAAGGCCAGCCTGGGCAATATAGTGAGACCTAGTCTCTCTAAAAAAACAGTTTTTGAAATTAGCCAGGTGTGGTGGTATGTGACTGGTGTTCCAGCTACTCAGGAAGCTGAATTGAAAGATGCTTGAGCCCGAGAGGCAGAGGCTGCAGTGAGCTGAGATTGTGCCATTGAACTCCAGCCTGGGCAACAGAGCAACACTCTGTCTCAAAAAAAAAGAACTTGATTCACCACAATCACTTGAGTGAGAGAAGGGGAGCCCAGGGGAGGAATGGTGGGAGCCTGGCCTGGGGTGGCAGCTGAGGTCAAGGGCAGATACCTGGTAAACGGTGACCCTGGCGCTGAGGTCAGGCTCTATGCGCCGCAGGGCGAATGTGGCCAGGTCCACAGGGTCCTGCGACAGGTCCCGGGGCACAGGGAAGGGGTTGATGTTCATGAATCGAGGGAACCACCGCTTCAGGCGCAGGAACTTGAGCATGGGGTGGCTTTTGCGTCCAAATATCTGAATCAACAGGAACTCTGTCTCCTTGTTGGGCATCACCCCTGTGCTGGGCAGATGCAAGCAGAGCCTCAGAGAGGGAGGAGGAAGGAGGAAAGGGAAGAGGAGAGAAGGGAACACCGTAGTCAGGGAATTACAGACAGGGAGAAAAGAATCCGAATTAGAAAAAGTCAGGCGCAAGCCTATAATCCCAGCATATTGGGAGGCCAAGGGGAGAGGATCATTTGAGCCCTGGAGTTTGAGACCAGCCTGGGCAATATAGCGAGACCCTATTTCTAAAAGAAAGAAAGAGAGCCAGGTGGTGTGGCTCATGCCTGTAATCCTAATTGGGAGGCCAAGGTGGGCAAATCACAAGGTCAGGACATTGGGATCATCCTGGCTAACACAGTGAAACCCCATCTCTATTAAAAATACAAAAAAATTAGCCAGGCACGGTGGCACGCACCTATAGTCCCAGCTACTCAGGAGGCTGGGGCAGGAGAATCGCTTGAACTCAGGAGGTAGAGGTTGTAGGGAGCTGAGATCGCACTACTGCACTCCAACCTGGGTGACAAAGCAAGACTCTGTCTCAAAAAAAAAAAAAAGAAGAGGTGACTCATGCCTGTAATCCCAGCACTTTAGGTGGCCGAGGCGGGCGGATCACGAGGTCAGGAGATGGAGACCATCCCAGCCAACATGGTGAAACGCCATCTCCACTAAAAATACAAAAAAATTAGGTAGGTGTGGTGGCGTGTGCCTGTAGTCCCAGCTACTCTGGAGGCTGACAGGAGAATTACTTGAACCAGGGAGTCGGAGTTTGCAGTGAGCCAAGAATGCACCACTGCACTCCAGCCTGGTGACAGAGGGAGACTCCATCTCAAAAAAAAAAAGGAAGAAAGAAAAGAAAAAGAGAAAGAGAGGAAGGGAAGGGGAGGGGAAGGGAAAGGGGCAAGAGAAAGAGAAGAGAAAGGAAAGGGGAAGGGAAAGAGAGACTGGGAGGGGGACGGGAGCTGTGGAGGAAGGAGGGGCTGAGACCCAGGAGAGGTGCTGCCAGCTCTCAGGGCAGCCCACTCCCCACCCCACAAGGGCCTCCTGTCCTCACCGTGGTTCTCCATCTGCTCCAGGACGGCCACCCCACACTGCTGCTGCCGAGGATAGTGGATGAAGATGTGCTGGATGAAGTTGCGAGGCCGGAAGACCTCCTTGGGGAAGATGTCGAGCAGCTGGTTGTACACGGCCAGGTCCCGCTCAACGCCATACTCACGCATCTTGCGCAGGGCCAGGTAGATAAAGTCAACGTGGCCCCGCTTACGCACGCTGTGCTCCCCAAACTTCTGCACCGCCTGCAGGAAGCTCGCCTTGTCCCGTTTCCCATTGGGCGCCTGCCCAAACATGTTTTCATAGGGCACCACGGCCTTGGTGCGTCTCTGCTGGGGTTCCGTTGGGGTGGGAACCAGCGCCGTTTCAGAGCTGTGGGTGGCTGCGCTGCAGTGGAGGCCCCGAGGGAGCTGGCGGGCGACCTGGGGAGGGAGGAGAACTGCTGGAATCTGACACCTCCCAGTGTCTGGGGTAGGGGGGCTGCCAGGCTGGCTTTTTCCTTGGAGAGGTGCCAGTGGCCTCCCTGAGGACCTTGGAGGTAGGAAACTGTGGTTACAAACCCAAGATTCGAGGCCACTACAAAGTGCAATAAAACACAGTGCTGGCATGGCAGGGAGAAAACAGGCGCTGTCAGCCATGGGGCAGCTGCTAAAAACTGCCATGGAGGCAACTTGGTAATATTCATAGTGATGACACACACATGCCCTTTTTTTTTTTTTTTTGAGACAAAGCGTTGCTGTCCTCCAGGCTGGAGTGCAATGGGGCAATCTCGGCTCACTACAACCTCCTTTTCCTGGGTTCATGCAATTGTCCTGCCTTGGCCTCCAGAGTAGCTGGGATTACGGGCTCCCGTCACTGCGCCCAACTAATTTTTATATTTTTAGTAGCGATGGGGTTTCACCATGTTGGCTAGGTTGGTCTGGAACTCCTGACCTCAGGTGATCCGCCTGCCTTCACCTCCCAAAGTGCTAGGATTACAGGAGTGAGCCACTGTGCCCAGCCTTTTTTTTTTTTTTTTTTTTCAGACAGGGCTGGCTCTGTGGCCTAGGCTGGAGTGTAGGGTGCTACTCTGGCTTACTGCAGCTTTGAAGTCCTGGGCTTAAGAATTCTCCCTGTCAGCCTGTCCAGTAGCTGGCATTACAGGTGTACATCATGGCACCTGGCTAATTTTTAAATTTTCAGCAGAGGTGGAGTTGTACTATTTTGCCCAGGCTGGTCTTAAACACCTGGCTTTAAGTGATCATCTTGTCTCCACCTCCCAAAGTGTTGGGATTTCTTTTTTTCTTTTTTTGAGGCAGAGTCTCACTTTGTCACTCATGCTAGAGTGCAGTGCCATGACCTCAGCTCAATGCAACCTCTGCCTCCTATGTTCAAGCGATTCTCATGCCTCAGCCTCCCAAACAGGGACTACAGATGTGCTCCGCCATGCCCCACTAATTTTTATATTTTAGTAAAGATGGGATTTCACCATCTTGGCTAGGCTGGTCTCAAACTCCTGATCTCATGATCCACCCACCTCAACCTGCCAAAGTGCTGGGATTACAGATATAAGCCACCGTACCCAGCCTATTTTTGTATTTTTAGTAGGGATGGGGTTTCACCAAGTTGGCCAGGATGGTCTCAAATTCCTGACCTCAGGTGATCCACTCACTGCAGCCTCCCAAAGTGCTAGGACACCCTTTTTTCTTTAAGAGATGAAGTCTAGCTGTGTTGCCCAGGCTAAAGTGTAGTGGTTAATCACAGGCATGAGCCAACTGATCAGCACAGGAGTTTTGACCTGCTCTGTTTCCAACCTGGGTCAGTACACCCTTCCTTAGGCAACCTGGTGGTCCCCCAAGTCCCAGGAGGTCACAATATTCACACAAAACGTAGTGCAGGATGCTCCATCAGCACAGTGCACAACAGCCCAGAACTCCTGGGCTCCAGTGATTCTCCCACCTCAGCGTCCAGGGTAGCTGGGACTACAGGCATGCATCACTAAAAGCCAGGCTAATTTTTGTATCTTTTTGTAGAGACGGGGTTACACTATGTTGCCCAGGCTGGTCTCAAACTTCTGGGCTCAAGAGATCCTTCTGCCTCAGCCTCCCAGTGTTGGGGTTATAGGCTTGAGCCACTGAGGCTACCTGGGGCTACTTTTATGTTACAGTGTAGCTCAAAGTAATTGAATAGTTGTGAGGGAGCCCATGTGGCCTGCAAAGTTGAAAATATTTACTATGTGACCCTTTATGAAAAAGTTTGCCAAATCCTGGTTCTAGATGATACAGTAACGAATTTCTTATTTTAATTAAAATTGAATGTTTAAATTAGAAGGGTTACATATAAGGCATCTTTAAAAATATATAGCTAATTATCCAGGCAAGGTGGTGAGTGCCTGATAGTCCCAGCTACTTTGGAGGCAGAGGTGGTTGGACTGCCTGAAGCCAGGAGTTCAAGGCTGTAGTGTGCTTTGATTGCACCACTGCACTGCAGTCTGGGTAACATAGTGGGACTCTCTCTCTCTCTCTCTCTCTCTCTCTCTCTCTCTCTCTCTCTCTCTATTTATTTATGAGACGGACCCTCACTCTGTTGCCAGGCTGGAGTGCAGTGGCACGATCTTGGCTCATTGCAACCTCCATCTCCTGGGGTTCAAGTGATTCTCCTGCCTCAGCCTCCAAGTAGCTGGCTGTGCACCACCATGCCCAGCTAAGTTTTCTATTTTTGGTAGAGACAAGATTTCACCATATTGGCCAGGCTGGCCTCAAACTCCTGACCTCGTGATCTGCCCGCCTCAGCCTCCCAAAATGCTGGGATTACAGGTGTGAGCCACTGAGCCCGGCTGAGACTCCATTTCTCTATGAAAAAATTAAAAAATAAGCTGAGCGTGGTGACGTATGCCTCCAGCTACTCAGGAGGCTGAAGCCAGAGGATTGCTTGAGCCCAGGATTTCCAGGCTGCAGTGAACTATGATTGTGTTGCTGTACTCCAGCCTAAACGACAGAGTGAAACCTTGTCTCTAAAAAATAAATGTGTGTGTGTGTGTGTGTGTGTGTGTGTGTGTATAGCTAACAAGTAAGAGCCAATATTAGGCCAAGTGCGGTGGCTCACGCCTCTAATCCCAGCACTTTGGGAGGCTGAGGCGGGTGGATCACCTGAGGTTAAGAGTTAGAGACCAGCCTGGGCAACCTGCTGAAACCTCATCTCTACAAAAAAAAAAAAAAAATACAAAAATTGCTCATGCCTATAATCCCAGCACTTTGGGAGGCTGAGGTGGGTGGATCACCTGAGGTTAGGAGTTGGAGAACAGCCTGGGCAACCTGCTGAAACCTCATCTCTACAAAAAAAAAAAATACAAAAATTGCTCACGCCTGTAATCCCAGCACTTTGGGAGGCTGAGGCGGGCACATCACGAGGTCAAGAGATCCAGACCATCCTGGCCAACATGGTGAAACCCCGTCTCTACTAAAAATACAAAAATTACCCGGGTGTGGTGGCATGTGCCTGTGGTCCCAGCTACTCAGGAGGCTGAGGTGGAGGTTGCAGTGAGCCGAGATTGTGCCACTGCACTCAAGCCTGGCAACAGAGCAAGACTCCATCTCAAAAAAAAAAAAAATACAAAAATTAGCCAGGCATGGTGGTGTGTGCATGTAGTCCCAGCTATTCAGGAGGCTGAAGGAGGCAGATCACCTGAGACCAGGAGGTCGAGGTTAAATGAGCTGAGATCATGCCACTGCACTCCAGCCTGGGTGATGGAGCAAGACCTTGTCTCAAAAATAAGAGGCAATATTTACTGAATATTCTTCCAATGTAGACACTGTTGAGTACTTTATAAATGCGAGGCCTTGGATGGGTGCGGTGGCTCCTGCCTGTAATCCCAGCACTTTAGGACGACGAGGTGGGTGGATCACCTGAGGTCGGGAGTTTAAGACCAGCCTGGTCAATATGGTGAAACCCCGTCTCTACTAAAAATACAAAACATTAGCCAGGCATGGTGGCGCATGCTTGTAATCCCAGCTACTCTAGAGGCTGAGGCAGGAGAATTGCTTGAACCGGGTGGCAGAGGTTGCGATGAGCCGAGATCGCACCACTGCACTCCAGCCTGCGCAACAAGAGTGAAACTTCATCTCAAAAAAAATAAAAATTTTAAATTAATAAATATGAAGCCCTATGTCTTGTGTACTCTTACTGCGCTCATTTTACAGATAAGAAAACCAAGACCCAGGAAGATGAAGCGAGATGCACGGTGTCCCACAGCTGCAAAGCATCAGAACTGAGAATGGAGTCAGTGACCTCAGTACCCCTGCTTTGCTGTCCCCAACAGCCATCCATGTCCTTCTTCGATAAGGCAATGTTTAAAAAAAAAAAAAAAAAAAAAAAAGGGCATTCATTTAAAGTAAAATATCAGGCTGGGTGTGTTAGCTCATACCTGTAATCCCAGAACTTTGGGAGGCTGAGGTAGGTGGATCACTTGAGGTCAGGAGTTTGACACCAGCCTGGCCAACATGGTGAAACCCCAACTCTACTAAAAAAAAAACACAAAAATTAGGCCGGGCGAGGTGGCTCACGCCTATAATCCCAACACTTTGGGTGGATCATGAGGTCAAGAGATCGAGACCATCCTGGTCAACAAGGTGAAACCCCGTCTCTACTAAAAATACAAAAATTATCTGGGCATGGTGGTGCACGCCTGTAGACCCAGCTACTTGGGAGACTAAGGCAGGAGAATTGCTTGAACCCCGGAGGCGGAGGTTGCAGTGAGCCGAGATTGCGCCATTGCACTCAGTCTCAAAAAAAAAAACAAAAAACACAAAAATTAGCTGGGTGTGGTGATGTGTGCGTAATCCCAGCTACCCAGGAGACTGAGGTAGGAGAATCATTTGAACCTGGAAGGCAGAGGTTGCAATGAGCGGAAATCGCACCACTGCACTCCAGCCTAGGTGACAGAGGAAGACTCCAACTCAAAAAAGAAAAAAACCCTGAAATTTCAGTCAACTAATACTATAGGTGGTGTAGTATTATACCACTTTAGGTAAAAATCAGAAAGGAAGCTCTAAAATGCCTAATGAGGGGGAAACTCTGCAAAGGAGGTAATGTAAATGAAATGCACAGCATGGGGTGGGCTCAATACAAGAACTATTAATATTCCCACCATCATCGTTATTGCTATCTATGGCTGTCAATCTGCTTTCCCCATCTGGTCACTATGGGTATGGGAAAGAAATTCAGTTTTCTGCTCCATCTTTACAAGTAGATTCAGGAGCTACCCACAGTCACCACACAAATCCAGTGAGCTCATATGTCCTTATTTTCAAAGTCAACCCCCTCACCTACGTGGGCACTAGCATCTCTTAAAATAAATTAGGGTCCAGGCACAGTGGCTCGAGCCTGTAACCCTAGCACTTCGGGAGGCCAAAGTGGAAGGATCCAAAGCCCAGAGGTTCAAGACCAGCCTGGGTAACATGGCAAGTCCACATGCCTAAAAAGAATTAACAGCCGGGCACAGTTGCTATTTGTTTTACACATACACCTAAAATCCCAGCAGTTTGGGAGGCCAAGGCAGGCGGATCACCTGAGGTCAGGAGTTCCAGACCAGCCTGGCCAACATGGTGAACCTCTGTCTCTACTAAAATTATAAAAATTAGCTGGCCGTGGTGGCAGCTATCTGTAATCCCAGCTACTTAGAAGGCTGAGGCAGAAGAATCACTTTAACCCGGGAGGTAGAGGTTGCAGTGAGCCAAGACCACACCACTCCACTCCAGCCTGAGTGATAAGAGCAAAACTCCATCTAAAAACAAAAAAAGCCAGGTATAGTGGCTCAAATCTATGGTCCTAGCTACTCAGGGGACTGAGGTGAGAGGCTCACTTGAGCCGAGGAGTTTGAGGCTACAGTGAGCCCTGATTCCACCACTGTGCTCCAGCCTAGGTGGCAGAGCAAGACCCTGTCTCAAAAATAAATCAATAAATTAGGGGCTTTTGGCTAGGGGCTGTGGCTTATGCCTGTAATTCCAGGACTTTGGGAGGCTGAGGCAGGTGGATAACTTGAACCCAGGAGTTTGAGACCAGCCTGGCCAACATGGCAAAACCCCTTCTCTAAAAAAATATGTAAAGCTTAGCTAGGCGTGGTAGTATGTGCCTGTAGTCCTGGCTACTTGGGAGGATGAGGCGGGAAGATTGCTTGAACCTGGGAGGTCAAGACTATTGTGAGCTGTGATCACACCACCGCACCCCAGCCTCGGCAAAAGAGTGAGACACTGTCTCAAAAAACAAACAAACAAACATATATACATAAATTAGAGACTTTCAATGGGACTTCAGCACAGATAAACCAGCCTAGACTCACCAGAATTGGCTTCACAGAGTGGATTCTGAAGGGGCTGAGAGTAAATCTCAAGCTTACCTCCCTCTGCCCTAAAGACTGCCTGGCTGGTGCTTACCTGAGAGATGGAGATTCCTGTGAGGGCGACCCCGCAGATGCCTCCCCAGGCCCTACAGAGGCCTGGGGCCAGTAGGGTGGCCTGGACCCAGCTCATGCCTCTGCTTGTCAATCACCTGCCCCAAAGAGAAAATCCAGCATTAGCCTGGTACCTTACCTGCTGACAGAGGCGAGGGCCCCCATAGGGTAGAGGGCACATTCCAAATTATGTGGCTAACTCACCAGCCCCAGTGTTTACCCTACCGACAAGACAGACTCAGATGACTCAAAGGCTTTGTTCCTGGAACAGCACCCCCAATCTCCCTGCCCCAGGGGCGTGATCATAGCTCACTGCAGCCTCCAACTCCTGGGCTCAAGTGATTCTCCAGCCCCACCGCCTCGAGAAGGTGGGACTATAGGCGCATGCCACCATGCCCAGCTAATTTGAAAATAGTTTGCAGAGACCCAGGGTCTCGCTGTGTTGCCCAGGCTGGTCTTGAACTTCTGGCCTCAAGTGAACCTCCCACCTCTTATCTCTCAAAGTGCTGGGGTCAAGGGCCTCAGCCACCACTCCTAGCCATTACAATCTAGTTTTGCAAATTTATGTCACTCCAATAAGAAGCCCTGTACCCATTAGCAGTCATTCAATTTCCCTTGACTCCCAACCCCAGGAAACCACTCATCTACTGTCTCCACAGATCTGCCCGCCTATACATGGAATCACAAGTGCTCCTTTGTAACTGGCTTCCTTCACTTGACAAGCTTTTTTTTTTTGAGATGGAGTCTCTGTCACCCAGGCTGGAGTACAGTGCTGCCATCTCAGCTCACTGCAACCTCTGCCTCCTGGGTTCAAGCAGTTCTGCTGCCTCAGCCTCCCAAGTAGCTGGGACTACAGGCATGAGCCAACACGCCTGGCTACTTTTTTGTATTTTTTTAGTAGAAACAGGGTTTCATCATGTTGGCCAGGCTGGTCTCGAACTCCTGACCTCAAGTGATCTGCCTGCCTCCACCTCCCAAAGTTCTGGGATTACAGGCGTGAGCCACCGCACCCAACCCATTGACATGTTTTCACAGTTCATCCATAGATTTTTTTTTTTTTGAGACAGGGTCTTGCTTTGTCTCCCAGGCTGGAGTGCAATGGCACAATCTCAGCTCACTGCAACCTGTGCCTCCCAGGCTCATGATTCTCCTGCCTCAGCCTACTGAGTAGCTGGGATACAGACATGTGCCACTGCACCCAACTAATTTATGATTTTTAGAGACGGGGTTTTGCCACATTGCCCTAGCTGGTCTCAAACTCCTGAACTCAAGCAATCTGCCTGCCTCGACCTCCAAAAGTGTTGGGATTATAGGTGTGAGCCACCTTGCTCAACCATGTTGTAGCATTTTACCAGAACTTCATTGCCTTTATTTTATTTATTTATTTATTATTATTATTTGAGGTGGAGTTTTTTTCTTGTTGCTCAGGCTGGAGTGCAATGGCACCATCTCAGCTCAATGCAACCTCTGCCTCCTGGGTTCAAGTGATTCTCCTGCCTCAGCCTCCCGAGTAGCTGGGATTACAAGCATGGGCCACCATGCTCAGCTAATTTTGTACTTTTAGCAGAGATGGGGTTTCTCCATGTTGGTCAGGCTAGTCTCGAACTCTCGACCTTGGGTGATCCACCTGCCTCAGCCTCCCAAAGTGCTGGGATTACAGACGTGAGCCACCTTGCCACGCCAATTCCATTCTTTTTGGAATGGAATATAACCAGGTTGCTTATGGCTATACCCATATTTTATTTATGCATTCATCAATTGATGGACATTTGGGATTGTTTGCCAAATGTTTTTGACTGTTATAACTACTATTGCGACCAAGATTCATGTAGAAGTTTTATGTGAACATATGTTTGTACTTCTCTTGAGTATATACTTAGGAGTGGAACTGCTGAGACATATGGTAACTATCTGTTTCACAATTTTAAGAACTGCCAGACTGTTTTTGGGGATGACTGCACCATTTTACGTTCTCATCGGCAATGTACAGTTGACCCTTCATCAACACAGGTTTGAAAAGCATAAGTCCATTTATACGTGGATTTTTTTTTTCAGTACAAGTTAGAGCTGCGTGTGGTGGCTCATGTATGTAATCCCAGCACTTTGGGAGGCCAAGGTAGGCAGATCACTTGAGGCCAGGAGTTCAAGAGCAGCCTGGCCAACATGGGAAAGACACCGTCTCTACTTAAAAATATACATATATGTGTGTGTGTGTATATATATATATACACACACACACACACACAAATTAGCTGGGCATGGTGGCATGCTCCTGCAGTCCCCAGCTATTCAGGAGGCTGAGGCAGGAGAATCGCTTGAACTCAGGAGGCAGAGGCTGCAGTGAGCTGAGATTGTGCCACTGCACTCCAACCTGGGCGACAAAGCAAGGCTCTGTCTGAAAAATAAAAATAAGGCCAGGTGTGTGGTGGCTCACGCCTGCAATGCCAACACTTTGGGAGGCCAGGCGGGGAATCACTTGAGGTCAGAAGTTCAAGACCAGCCTGGCCAATGTGGCAAAACCACGTCTCTACTAAAAATACAAAAATTAGCCGGATGTGGTTGTGCATGCCTGTAATCCCAGCTACTTAGGAGGCTGAGGCGGGAGAATCACTTAAGCCTGGGAGGTGGATGTTACAGTGAGCTGAGATCGCACCACTGCACTCCAGCCTGGGTGACCGAGTGAGACTATGTCTCAAAAAAACTAATTAAAGTTAAACTTTAAAAACAGAGGGGCTAGGAAAAAAGAAAGTTACATCTGAGTGTGCCTGCCTCTCCTGATTCTCCTTCTGCCTCTTCCACCTCTCTGCCTCTGCCACCCCTAAGACAGCAAGACCAACCCCTCCTCTTCCTCCTGCTCCTCTTCAGCATGCTCAATGTGAAGATGATGAGTATGAAGACCTTTAAGATGATCCACTGCTACCTAATGAATAGTAAATTAAATGTATTTTCTTTTCCTGATGATTTTCTTTTTTCTTTTTTTTTTTTTTGAGACCAAGTTTCACTCTTGTTACCCAGGCTGGAGTGCAATGGCACGATCTTGGCTCACCGCAACCTCCGCCTTCTGGGTTCAAACAATTCTCCTGCCTCAGCCTCCCGAGTATCTGGGACTACAGGCACGCACCACCATGCCCAGCTAATCTTTGTATTTTTAGTAGATACGGGGTTTCACCTTGTTGACCAGGATGGTCTCAATCTCTTGACCTCGTGATCCACCTGCCTCGGCCTCCCAAAGTGCTGGGATTATAGGCGTGAGCCACCGCGCCCAGCTGATGATTTTCTTAATAACATTTTCTTTCCTCCAGCTTGTTGTAAAACTATTGTATAATATATATAACATTAAAAATATGCTAATTGACTATATATGTCATCACTAACGCTTCTGGTCAACAGTAGGCTGTTAGTAGTTTTGAGACAGAATCTCAATCTGTTGCCCAGGCTGGAGTACAGTGGTATGATTGTGACTCACTGTAGCCTGGACCTCCCTACTCAAGCAGTCCTCCCACTGCAGCCTCCTAAGTAGCTGGGACTACAGGTATGTGCCACCACATCTGACTAATTAAAAAAATTTTTTTTTCTTCAAGACAGTGTCTCACTCTGTTGCCAGGCTGGAGTGCAGTGGTGCGATCTCAGTTCACTACAACCTCCACCTCCTGGGTTCAAGCAATTCTCCTGCCTCAGCCTCCTGAGTAGCTGGGATTACAGGTGCACTCCACCACACCCAGCTAATTTTTGTATTTTTAGTAGACACGGAGTTTCACCATGTTGGCCAGGCTGGTCTCAATCTCTTGACTTTGTGATCTGCCCATCTCAACCTCCCAAAGTGCTGGAATTATAGATGAGCCACAGTGCCTGGCCTTTTATTTATTTATTTATTTATTTATTGAGACAAGATTTTGCTCTGTCACCCAGGCCAGAATCCAGTGGTGTGATTAAAGCTCACTACAGCCTTGAGCTTGGGCTCAAGCGATCCTCCTGCCTTATCCTCCCAAACAGCTGGAACCATAGGCGTACACCACCATGCTTGGTTAATTTTTTTATTTTTTGTAGAGATGGGAGGCTTACTATGTTGCCCAAGCTGGTCTGAAACTTCTGGGTTCAAGTAATCCTTCCACCTTGGCTTCCCAAAGGCCATGCCAGCTAATTTTTTTTGTATTTTTGTGGAGATGCAGTTTCACCATGTTGGTCTTGAACTCCTGGCCTCAGGTAATCTGCCTGCTTCGGTATCCCAAAGTGTTGGGAGTACAGGCATAAGCCACCACACCCAGCCAAGTTGTAAGAGTTCTTTATATATTGCCTTTTTTTTTTTTTTTTTTTGAAAAATGGTCTTGCTCTGTTGCCTAGGCTGGAGTACAGTGGTGTAATCTCGGCTCACTGAAGCCTCAACCTCCTGGATACAAATGATCCTCCCACCTCAGCCTCCCAAGCAGCTGGAACTACAGGCATGAGCCACCATACCCAGCTAATTTTTGTATTTTTTGTTGAGATGGGGTCTTGCTATGTTGCCCAGACTGGTCTCAAGCTCCTGGCCTCAAGCACTCTTCCCATCTTGACCTCCCAAAGTGCTGGGATTACACATGTGAGCCATCACCACGGCCTTTATATATTCTGGATGGATATTATACCCTTATGATTTGCAAATTTTTTCTCTCATTCTGAGAGCTGTCTGTTCACTTTCTTGATGTTATCATTTGCAGCATAAAATTTTAAATTTTGATGAAGTTCAATTTATCCTTTTTCTTTTAATAGCTGTGCTGTGGTATTATATCTAAAAAAAAAAGAAAACATTGCCTAGCCCAAGGCCAAGAGATTTGCATCTATTTCCTTTTTTTTTTTTTTTGATACAGAGTTTCACTCTTGTTGCAAGGCTGGAGTGCAATGGTGTGATCTTGGCTCAGTGCAACCTCTGCCTCCCGGGTTCAGGCGATTCTCCTGTCACAGCCTCTTGAGTAGTTGGGAGCAGAGGTGCCCACCACCATGCCCAGTTAATT